CATTTTACAGATGGGGAAACTGAGGCACAGAGAGGTTAAGTGTCTTGCCCAAGGTCACGCAGCAAGTGAACGCTGGAGCTGGGACTAGAACCCCGGTTCCCTGACTCCCAGTGTCCTTGAAACTAGACCACACTGCTTCCAAAGAGGCACCCCCAGACTGGCTTTGAGCACGAGTTAAAGACGGACAATGTTGGATGAGGTTTGGGTGTGGTGGTATTTCCCGTAGACACGTTAAGATGGAACCTGAGGTGTTGCCTGGATTGGTTTTGGCATGCGGGTGTATGTGTTAGTTTGAATGGGTGTATCTGAGCTTCCTGTCCTGCCCACTTCTCACTGCATTCTGAATGGGGTCACTGCAGAGAGCAGGAGCCGGATGGTCAGGAGGTTGTGACAGACTGGCATACACAAAAGGAACTCGGTCAGCTCAGCGCCAAGGGGCCTGCCGGTCTCTGGGAGTTCGGGCAACCTAGGGATGTAGGACTCGGGAACGGAGTCAGCTGCCCACCTTAGGCAGGTCTGCTTAATCTTTTTATTTTTTAAACTTTTCATTTTGTTTTGTTTTACTGGCCAGTATCAGGAAGTTGTGTTCATTTCGTTTCTCTGCGGGGCGGCTGCCCCCCTCCTTTGCTCTTTCCCACTCTTTCCCTTTCTCTGAGTCTCTGGTTGGAAGGAAAAACTGTTAAGACTTGCACGTTCCCTTTCATGAAAAAGAGCCACCACGAGCAGCGTCCGCGATGGGAGGCCACGGCTCGGCAGGTGAGCCACGGCCCTGCTTCCACCTTCCGGAGGAGTGCTTTGCTTGGAAGGGGTCTCCCTGGGGCCTTGGGTTTGCTTTTTCCTGCATTTCTCCTGAAATGCTGTTTCAGTGGAAATAAGCCCACTTGAGACTTTTCCCTTTCAAGGCCTTAGCCACAAACGCCTTCCGACTAACGAGCTTGGTGCTGTAGCTCAGGCAGAAAATTCTAAAGCATCCGTTCAAGCATCTGAAACAAATGAATCAGCCAGTGAAATCTCATCTGTTAGCATCTGTTCTCCTCTTAGATTAAAAAAGAGAAAAAAAAAAAAAGCCCTTTTTATGTCTTTAGATGGCATGCTTTAAAAAAAGAAAAAAATCTTGCTACTTTTTAGACTAAGGTGGCTAGATAACAGGTATCCGATATTCCACAAATTATTCCATTTTTCCTCTGTTTTTATGCACTGAGCCTCCCTCAGAAGGCCACATCAAGGCACATTAGGGACCAAGTGCCATTTGCTTCTTGTATACCACCCACCTTTTCATTTGACCACCTACATCACCATCTGTTGGCTGGGGCACAGGCTTTAACATTATAAAACCTGACAACCTAATTCTTTACAAGCTGGAAGTAGTGGTCTCCTCCTTAAATTCAAATTCCAAACTGGTTAAACAAAAAAAAAAAAAAAAAAAATACTATCCTTCTAAAGTCTTCCTGTCATTAAGGCTCCTATTTGGGATGAATGGGGGACAGTCTCCTCAGATTCCACCAGAGTGTCTTTTGCATAAAGGAAATCCTTGAACGTCGAAAGCAAAAGAAATGAACAGAACTTTTCCCACTTTAGGATCTTTTTTTTGTTTGTTTTCCATGAGATACTGGACTAATTCATGTCTGTATCTTGCATGGACATCCTCATCTGGAAGGTCTGATGGGCATTACTCTTTGCTGTGAAGGGCACTGAGAGTGCTCGTGGCTGCAGAGCTGTGTTCCTTTATTTACTGGCTCCTCGTGGAACCTTGCAGGTCACTTGGATGCAGCAACAATGATGAAGAGCAAATGCTGAGTCAAACTAAAGTGAAATGGCATGTAGGGGATGAGTGAGGGAAAAAAAAAAAGAGGCCTGATGCAGCTTCTCCGATTCCCTCTGTAGAGGGCTGGAGAGAAAGCTGGCTTTTATGAGAAGATGGATGGATAGATGGAAACTGCACACTCATTCAGACCACATAGGCCAGAGGACACGAGGTGCCGAGCTCCTACCCACTCACGGATCTAGGAGCTCCTCAAGCCATTTCCCTTCATGTAGAAGGGGACACTGTAGTTGGTCTGAACAGAGGGAGACCAGATGGAGCCCACAGGGTTGAAAACCAGAGTGCATCTGTGTGCCCTTGAAAACCATTCCACGGGAAGGGCAGAGGATGTGGACCAGTTCTGATCCTGTTCAGACAGACTGCACGCTACGCAGCACAAGCACGCACATGCCTATGTCTTGACTTCTGCGCTCACACCATGATGCCCACACTCCACTTTCCATGAGCAATCGGTCTGCCAGCCATGTGGCACCTGTGGCATGAGGAGGAGCAACTTATCCCACTTCTCAACAGGCCATGTCCACTTTCAGGGCTTCCCTGAGGATCCATGGACTTGTCCTCGTGACACTGTTGGTACATTTCTCCCGCTGCAATTCAACCCCATTTCCCTAATTGCTACATTGTCACGTTAATATTTCATCATGCGGAAAGGAAGGGCCTCCTCATGCTAATTAAATGTAGAGTGACAAATCTCATTTACAGCCATTTCTAGAGCAGAGGAAACCAAAAAATGTAATGAGAATTATCCTTTAAGGAAACAAAAATTTTCTATTTTTAATGTTTGCTTCAGATTCAAATGCATTTTCAGAATTTATCTGTCAAGATTATGAACACAATTTTCTAGGCTGTGTACTCAACATAAATTATAGACATAGCCTCAACTCCCAATGGAACCATGTGAAAATATGCTGATATTATCATCTAACTGGAAATGTTTGAATTTCACCAAGGAAATAAAACTCTTTCTATAAACAACAAAATTAAAAATGTTTAGGAGGAAAAAACTCTCAACATTATTGTAACACAATGTAATAGAGTCTTTTAACCTGTGACTTATAAATGTAGCTTTAGCATCATTTGAATCTTCAAAACCGAGTGAAGCCCATCCATGATATATGGTAATTACTTACTAATTAATTACCTAGCCATGTGTTGTTTTTCAGGTTTCAAACATCAAAACACTATACCCAGCCACCAGAGCAAGCACTGAAGCCATCTAATTGGGAAGTCTTGGGGATTCACAAAAGGTATAACTCTGTACCCGGGTCGTCATCATACATGTCTTCCACAGAAAACACAAGGGTCTCATAGCATAGAGCTAACATGGTTACTGTAAATTACAACATAGCCATCCATGAAAGAGTATGTTTGCCCCTCCAGAAAAGTCATCAAGTTCCAGTGACCCACCACCTAGAATCTGAGAACAGCAAGCAGTTCCCTACAAGTAGAAGGCACCACGGCACTCTGAAATCCAGCCAGCCTATCATCCAGGCCCAGAGCTACTTTAGGGAAGAGCCTTCAGAAACACATTAATCACTCCCTTTCCTTGCACCCATCTTGGCCATACTGTCCTCAAGAATGTAGGGCCCAGCGACCTATTCAAATCCGCAAACACGTCTTTTCAGTTTGCTTCGTCTCTCTAAGGCATCTTGTGAACTGTGATCAGGAGAAGGGCTGTCACTTTTACCAACTGGATCTGCCAGAGGTGAAAGAGCTTTACTCACAAATTCCACAACTGGAGACAGCAATTAGCTATTTGACTGAGCCTGTGATTCACTGAGCTACCTTAAGGAGATGTGATCAGACAAAGAAATATCAGAAATTGTCTTCCGTCAGATTCAACACCATCCTGCCCCCCGCCCTGCTGCTGTCTGAGCAGAGCAGAGGTTTCACCATGAATCAGCAGGTCACTGTCACACAAGGTCATCTACTAACCCACCATATGCATACGCACCCCACACTCCTCCATTCATTCATTGTCATTCATGTTCATATTCTCTCTCTCAGCGAGACCACAAACAAGCCTTCCCTGTGGTAGTTACCATCACTTTGAACACAAAACAATGTCGGGCATTTTTCCCAGAAAAAAAATGAAGGACTACTCCACATTGAACCTTACCAATACCTACAAGGCCCAATTTAAGACACGTGGTGATAACAGGGATATAAAAGTAATTTTAGAGTAAATAAATTAAAAAGGACAAAATTCCCTATCTTGTTCATGAAGGACTTAAAGCATTCCAGGTAGCAGAGTTGCCAGGGCTTTTGATTAATTTGGACAGTTGTTTCTGACAGCTTGCCAACCTCTGTAGTTTCCTTTGTCCTGTTCTTACCATCTTTTTCTTGTTCCCCCTTCACCCTGCTTTCTCCATTACCAGCACTCACAGACTTCCTAGGTCCTTTTCCTGCAGGTCTCCACTGTGATTCCCTTGCCCACACCACCTCCCCACCCGCCACCTGCTTCCTTCCCATCAGAGCTTTGGGCTTACCTATGATTCTCTATCCTCAAATGTATGGACCCTAGTTGGAACCAGAGGTTCCTGAAAGCCACATCCACACTCTAGGAGCCTGGGGTGGGGCCAGGGCTGGCGTAGGGGTAGGGACCAGAGGCTGGCCTGGGTGTGAGAGAGCAGCATTTTCACAGCAAGCCTCAAGGCCATCAGGAGACAACGCACAGAGAGACAGACACATTGCACATACACGCACACACACACACTAGGAGGTGATGGATGTTACTGAAATGGACCGAAAACCAACAAGCAGTGGGGTAAGAAACAAACAGAAACAAAACAAAGCACTTGCGTTCAGATGGAAAGCTGTTTCTGGGCAGCTAGGGCCCGAGCCCAGGGCTGGGGGAGGGTGGGGGCCTGCTTGGAGGACACTGCCTTTGGAGAAGCCTGGAGGAGACAGCGTGCTAGGGCAGGTGTGCCTCTGCCGCTGTCCAGGGGCCCAGCCCCGGGGCCGCAGGGAATGCGGGGCACAAGAAAGAAAGCCAGGAGAGGGAGGCACTTACCTCATGGCCCAGAAATGGCTAGTCCACATTTTGGGGAGTGTGCAGTATCTCAGTTAAACAAAATCCTTGTGGTACTGCTCAACCATGAATAGTCAGCTCTCTAGTGTTTCAAATAAGCTTGCAAAATCGTTAGTGAAAAGAGAAAAAAACAAAACAACAATTCACCTGTAGGGCAATGGTGGTGTTCTTCGCAGGGTACTTTCCCACCAGTCCTTGTTCTTTCCGTTTCTTGAATTTCCTAAAGTAGTCCTGTATCAGGAAAGTGGCATAGAACTTCCCCACGGTTACCTCATCATCTAAACGGAGAGACCAGACAGAGCTCTCCCAAATCAGCACGTTTGCACCAAGAGCCTAAACCCTGGCTGCTGGCTGGGGGCAGGGAGGGTGGGACGGTGCAGGAGGCACTGAGCTCTGGGCTTACAACATAGGAGACTAGGTCTAGCAAAAAGCGAGGTTTTGCAAAGCAGTTAAGGCTCAAAATTAGAGTCAGTAAGTGAACTGATACTCAAAATTACAGAAAATAATATATTTGTCATGAGTTTAACAGAGCAGCGTATTAGTAACACTATGAAGTGCTGTCTTGGTTATTTACTTAAAACAAAAAGTACAAAACAAAAAAGGCTTCACGGGTCATATTTTCACCCCTGTGCATAGGGATTTGCATGCGCAATTACCATGAACACGAACGGCAATTAACCATCCAAATCCCGATGCCTTGAGATAAAGATAGAGACCTCAGAAAGGCGACAGACAAGCTCAGAAGAAGAGGAAGGTTCAGAAAGGTGACTGCAAACCCAGATTTTCACGTGCTCCCCTAGTTCTCTGCCAGTAGCCTCCACGGACTGTTTCTTGGTTTGTAATTCAGAACTGCTTGCTTTCGGCACTGCAAGCGACAGCTCCAACTAAGCTCAAAGTGGAGCTGACTTCTTTCTGCTTTGTTCAGAAGCAACCCCAACAGTATCACTGGGGAACTGGAACTCTGCTGGGCATTTTAAAAGTGATGCATGAGGCAGAATAGGGGCTCTAGCCATCTTGTGGTAAACCACCTTGGCAGTGGAAGTGAGGCCCAGGGGTCTCCACAAGCCCTACTCTCCCAGGGGTGCTCGCCACCAGATCTGCAGTGTGCCAAGGGCTCCTGGGAGGAAAGCTTAAGGCCCCTTTAGCAGCACACCCACATGGGGCCGTGCTGGGGCTGGGGGCTGTTGGCCATGACTTGCAGAGGCTGGGAGGAGGAACGGCTGCTGACCCTCAGGCTTTAGCACAGCTAAACTTTTGGCCAGGTCGCCCTTGCAAGAGTTACATGTGATCTGGGGCAAGGGGTTCAACCCTTCTGGGCTTGTGTTCTCCTGTGTAAACAGGGCTGTGCCTTTTAGAGGAGCTGTGAGATGTACAGAGAAGAGGCATAAAGCACTCAGCCCCCTGCTTCGTGGTCCTAAGCACCAGGCAGGGGCTGGATGACTGTGAGCCCTCAGAGTCACTGTTACTTTATACAATCTGCCCACAGTGGCATCCACTGAAAGCGACTGTAGAGCATGACAGGTTAGGGACACTGGGAGCCACTGTATTCACTAACACACCCTGGGTGGGGTTCATTTAGTGCCCACTGGGAGGTGTCCCCATCTGGACACCACTGGGCTCCTCTCCAAACTTCCTTGTCAGAAGCCCCTACGAGAGAAGATGCCTTAGGGTGCTCGGCCTCAAGAAGTATGTTACATTCCTTCTAAACCCAAGCTGGGCAAGTCCTAGGGTGGTGTAGGAGCCACCAAAGTGAACCTATGGCTTTGCGTAGCATGTGAAACCATGGTCCCTCATTAGTCTCAGTCTAGTCTAAACTGTCCAACAATGCTCTGTCCGTAGGTGAGGGGTGAATGGAGACTGCTCAGGTCCTGGCATTTCACCCTGCTCTGCTCTCGGGCCACTCCCCATTTGCCCAGGGTACATGTGGAACACCAGTTCCAGCTACCCTACTACTAGGCATTATAGGTGCCAGGCCCCGGCCAGAGGAGCTCCATGTGGGTCTGATGGCCTCTTCACAACAGCTCTGAGATGGTGGACCTGCTCATCCCCTCCCACAGGTGGAGAGAGGTTAAATGACTTGCCCCAGGCCAGTCGAGTTGGGATGTGAGCCCCCTGAGCCTGACTGAGACTGGGCCCAGGAAGAGTTCTTAAGAACAGGAAAAGTCCAAGCTATAGCAGGATAGAAAAGGAAGGAAGAGAAGGAAGGAACGAGATGAGGCCATTTGAGCTCAGGACTGGAGAGAAAGAGATGAGGCCAGCTCTATGTGTTCTTCAGGGAAAAGGAGCCAAAGATCCAGGTCAAGGAGCCAAGGCCCAAAGACAAGGAGAGCCTCTGGGAGAAGAGGGACTTCTAAAGTGAGGCGGAAGACCCATGAAATGGCAGGAGAAGACTGGAGAGTGGAGGTGAGAACACGAGCGAGATTCAGAGATGGGAAACGAGACAGCTCAGCCCTCATGACAGAGAGTGCGGACAGGCTGTTCCCGCAGCCAAAAGCCCTTGTACCACTGAGACTCAGAAGGAAAGGTCCCAACTCGTATCCCATGGCTCATTCCTGAGTATCACGCCTCATTATCAAGCTCATGATGACCTGGGGGGCACCTCACATCACACTGGTGCCAGCAAAGCCTCCTAAGACGGGCACATACTCTGTTCTGTCACCCGGGGCTCCCTAAGCACCTGACATCGGCCAGTCCAGGCACTGGGAGCAGCTGGCCCGGCTCAGTCTGCTGCTCTCTGACCAGGTTACAGTACGAGGCACATCAAGCCCCTCAGCCTCGGGGAGCTGCCCATCTGCTGGCCCAGAGGGCTGTACAAATATTTCTGTTTTCTAAGGGTGTCATGATGTGGGCACGGCTGAGAACCACTGGTCTACTAGAAGGTAAAAGAGGAAAAACAAAGAAACAAATGGTGAATACAGACACTTGAGTAACCCTGCCCAGCAACTCAATCAGGGTCTGTTCACTGAAGCCTGGAAGTCACTGTCTTTTGAACTCCTTCAGTGGCAATAGCACTTATTTGAGATTCAGCCTGGATAAGCACTACCCTGGGCACAGAAACAAGGACACGGAACTTCTGGAGCATTCTTTCTCCTACTAAGGGCCCCTTTCCTCCTTCTCAGGTTTCACAGTGCCTCTTGTGCCATTTTGGAACAGATTAACGCTTGTCATCCTAAACCCCAATCCATTTTAAGAAACACAGCGGAAAAGCCAGTGCCCTATTGGGCCAAGAAAGCAGGAGAATATTTAGCCTTTATTAGAAGTCTGGTAGAGCTAAAAGTTGATCAGTTTTTCAAAGGAACAGAGCTCAGATGGTGGGCCAAATTCTGGACGTTTTTTCTAGTACAATGAAAAGAAATGAAGTTTCACAGTAATGCGAATGACACTGTCCAAGCGAGTCTCGCCAGGATGGGCACTGACGTGCGAGAGAGACTAGTTTGTAACGAAGGGGGCATTTCAAGAGAGACGTGGGGTGGAGCGGGGAGGCGCAGGGCTCCGGACCATGGGAGGAAGGTTTACTCAGGCCGCTATTCTGAAGCATGCATCTGTATTTCAAGAAACATCGTCGGGGAATATAGTTGGCAAGAGATAACTCTGATTCCATGCCACCACCCTAAAACAGAATTGCTTCAGAATATTCTTAAAGACTGAGAGTTGAAAGGAAGGGAGGCTGCAGAAAAAGCTCAAGCACATCGTTACAACAATTTACAAAAGCAATTGATCTAAGCCATGCGAGCACCTGGGTGCGCAGCTAAAAAGAAAAGAACGAAGACCAGAGAGTTGTTTTAAACGTGCAGTATCAGTTCCCCTGCGGAGAGCCAGGCTTCTCTAGGTGGGAGTTTTGGTTTTTTTGTTCTTCTGGGGGTTTTTTGTTTTTGGGTTGTTTTTTGCTTTCCCTTTATTATTTATTTGTGGGTCGTCTTCCCCAGCTTTGAGCCGGTGGCCAGGTCAGCTCTGGGTGGCTCCCTCCAGCGACAAAAGCTCGTACTGCTTCTCGCTTCACGCTGAGGAGCAGAGCTGGCCAGCATGCTGCTCTCTCTGGCCCCCAAGAGCCAGAGGTTGTCACCTTTCCAGAGGGAGAGGCGGTGGCTATCATCCTGCCCCGGGGTTCCAGAGTCGGCTTCCAGACCTGAGCCAGACCAATCTCGAAAGCTGCAGGGGCAGAGATACTCTAGAAGTTTGGTTGGTTACAAAAAACACCAAAGGCTTATAATGTGCCCAGGGCCGGGGATGGCTGGAAGGCTGGTGTGGGGGCACTAAGTGAACGGATCCTGCACTTTTAAAATGTGAAAATAAAACAGTCCAAATACAACCACCTCAACCTCTAAGTCCATGTGTACTTAAATGAAAATGGAAAAACAGTATATATATTATATATATATGTATTATATATATATAAATCTGAAAAAAGTTTAGTCAGTTATTTTATGATAAATAACAAAAGGAAATAAGCATGCCTGTTAGTTCTGTCTCTTCTCGAAATTCTAATTAAGGGGACATTTTTGGTAATTATGGTAGTAAATTCAGTCTTGGCAAGAACATTTCAAAAATATCATTTTCTAAAAGCTATTTTTTGTGAGAGGTTTTCAACACTATGTTGAAGGATAAACGGAAACTAATTTTAAATATTTCATTTTGGACAAAAAAAATCCAGGCTTTTCACTTTGAGGCAGCAAGCTAGTCCTCTAACATTAATTCCCCCACCAACAAGGAAACCCCTGCTCCAGCCATCTGGATCTTGGTTTCCTTCCCACTGAAGCCTCTCCTTTGTCTGGAATGGTCTTCTGATCACCCAAATAATTACAGCTATGGCTGGAGGGCCTTCTTTAGCTGTTGGCCTTAATGCTCTAGCTGATACAGACAACATTCTGCAAACACTCCGGGCTTGCTGGAGACGCTGTCACTGAAACCAATGGGTTGGCCAAGAACTACTTAAGAAATAGATGACACTGACCACCAGCTGGAGGGACGACTTGGTCAAGTAGTTTCATGCTGGTTTTCTTCCAGATTTTCTTTATCACAGCTCGGAGTTCTTCATTAGCTTGCTCCAGGTTCCCTGAATTCGAAAAGCAAGAGGGGAAAACAAGCCTTGCTTCTTCACCCAGCAAAACCTCACTGTTCTCACTACAGCTGCTTCCCTCCCAGCCTGAGCTGGATTAGAGATGGCCCCAGGATGGGTTTCCCCTCCCCCCAGGCTCTCCCCTGTTAGGGACATGCACCTTTCCTATATTCAGCAAATAGTTATCAAGCCTTCCAATGGGCAGTCACTCTACTGTGGGGACAACCGTGTTTTATTCTGGAATTTAAGGCCCATCTCAATCTGCTCCTGTCCTACCCCCCCACAGCCAAGACCTACTCCTTTCCCACGGCTCCCAGCTTAGAATGCCTTTTAACTCCTTCGCTGGCTGTTCCAAATCCTGCCTCCATCCTTGATGATCCAGACTAAATTTCACCCAAATAAGACTTTTTCAATTTCTACTTGCATGTACCCGTCAGTACCACATAATCTTGGTCTTTTATTATATGAGCTAATGTTTGTCTCCTCAACTAACATGTCAGTATATAAAACCATCCTGCCTTCTGCATCCCTCATTGCTGCTGGCCAGGGGCCAGGGAGAGATGAACACATTGCACAGAGTACATGTTAGCTTGAAGAGGCTGGCTTTGCTGGATAGATTCACCCTGAACTCTGGGGCTGCAAGAAAACAGCTGTCCATCGACTCCTCACATGTCCCTTGCTGGCCCCTCTTCCCTCTCCTCCACCAAGTGCGTCAAAGAGTTGGCTCCCTCACAGTCTCCACTTCCTCACCTCTTGGTCACTCCTCGACCCACTGCAGTCTGCTTTCCATCCCACCTCTACAGTCGCCACTGAGCCAACTCCAATGGCCACGCTCCAGGGCTTGTCCTACCAGGGCTGAGCGTGGCCATGAAGACCACTCTGGTTTGCTCTCAGCTGGGAAGATGCTGGTGCTAATAGTATTTCCCAAGTGCCGATGACGTGCTAGCACTACAGATGGGCTCCCGCAGACATCACCTCCTCTCATCCTCAGGACTTCCCCTGACGTAGGTGTATTTATTTCCTCTTAATAGAGGAAAAAACTACTGCTCAGAACAGCAAAATCCCTCACCGCAGGTCACGCCATCAGTAAGGAACAGCTGGATGACCTCATCTGTGATGGTTCTGCCTCTGCCCTGATCTCCCACCTGTTCCTCCTGCTCTGCAGTCAGCAGTGGCATGAGTCACCTCAAAACTTTCTGGGACAAAGGGAAGCATTAAGGAAGGAAAGAAGGAATGAGGGAGGCAGGGACAGCCAGCTGGCCCTCGTTCTCATTACACTCATCATCTCCTCCCCCACGGCCTCGCCTTGACAAGAAAAGGCCCAGATGGGAGGATGCAAGGTGGGGATGGCATCGCCTCCCTCTTCTACCACCTGTGCTGCTTCCAGGGAACGCTCACCTTCAGTCTTGATTTTAAGAGCCGTTCGAACCAAAGCAAAGAGGGTTGCATTAAACATGACTGTCCCATCACTGTTGAGAGGCATGTTCATGGCAACGAGTCTCTGTAAACAGAAAGAAAAGTTTCTTAATAGGATGCGAATGACTGATGACAGCTGTATCCCTTCCCGATGTTTATTCTGTTTATCCCTCATCTCTTTCCCTCAATTCAATACAACAGCCATTTGGGGAGCACCTACCATCTGCAGGGCTCTGAGATGACAAAGATTAAAGCTTTAGTCATGAAATGCAAATGCTGGCACTCAGATGGTGTGTTTTATTTTGTTACCCTTAATTGTTGAATCAACGCACTGTTCCCGCATTCTTCTCTCTTTCTCATTAACCAGCTCTCTCTGTGTCTTGGGGTCAGCTCTCCATCCCGGGCACATCCTTAAGGCTGTTGTGAGGGTAAAATGATGTGCCAGATACAACGAGCCAGGCTCAGGGCTTGGGATTTAGGTCCTCAACCCAGAGGGTCCATGATCATTCCTAACACAGGGAGTGTCCTTCAAGGACCCTGCCCTGGTGAGACCATTGTGTAGTGTTTTGTACAAGTCCATGTGCTTTCTCCGAGTGTTTGGTCTTTCAGACTAGGATCCCCACTTCCTGCTTCTCTTCTCTCTCTCCTGGTCCCTCTAACACCAGCACAGAGAGTTGGAGAGGACTTGGGTTAGTGACACCCTCTCTGGGCCCCATTTACCTCACCTGTAAATGCAGATGACATGCCCACACCAAAGGGGCTGCCCATGGATTAAAGGAGATCATAGACACGAAGATTTCAGCCTGGTGCCTGGCACACGGTGGGTGCTAAGAAAAGTAGTACTTGTCATTGTTAATAGTTTCAAATTTCTTAATTTTGGCTGACAAGGTGTCCCAAGAAAAATATTTTAGAAACTTTTTCTCCTCCCTATTAATGAATTGGAATCTTGTGTTCACATGACTCATCCTATCTAAATTCCTAGTCCTATTGCCAACCATCCCCATTTCCAAAACCAGCAGAGGCAGCCAGGATAGCCTGGACACTCATTTGCTTTTCCTGGCAAGTTCCTGAGTCCATAAAACGGACCACTTGATGCCTTAAGGACACTCAGATCCTTTACATAAAAGGGTCTGGAAATGCGAACCCAAGACGACAGCCATGAGCTAGAACCTATCCTGCTTTTAGATAGCAGAAAAGAGGCTGGTACTGGAAAACTTAGGGAAAAAAGTCAATTTCTGCAGCTTATTCTCTGTACTCACATCCAGAGTCCAGGCTGAAGAGAAGCAAGGACCCAAAGGATTTGCCAATGGGGCTTTCTGAACTTGCAGGGCAGGAAACGAGGAGCTTGGCTCAGAAGAGTTCTTTGAAAGCCCGAAATACATTGCAGACTCCACTCTTACCTTGGGTTCTGTCTAGAGCTGGCCCAGGAACCTGGAGAGGTAAAACCCCTGACCACAGAATCCCCCAGGATCTGTGAGGGGAGGGGGCCAGTTGTTGGGCAGATTGGCTGGATTTCTATAGGGTAGAGTTTCAACAGGCAAATCTTGCATTTCTCCTTTAAAAAGGGGAATCCTTTGAGGTTGCAACAACTGACACAACGTGGGTCACTGTGAGCTCTATGGAAGGAAAACAAATCTCAAGTATGGCTCACAGAGAGCATGGTCTGATGTGAAATCTATGGAAGCCGGGTAGGAGATCTGGATCCATCCCTGAGAGGCCGGATGCACGTCTCACCAGGAAAGAAGCCCATGCCCAGTGGTTACCACAGAGCTCTGGCAGCAGAGGGGCCACGTGATCCATACATCACCACATCCACCATCACAAAAGCTATGAAATGTCCAGGTCACCAAATTTCCTCCATTCACCTTCCTAAGTAGATCTCTATGCCATCCCCTCCTCTCTATCCCCACTTTCCTACCCTCACTCATGGCCCTTGTTACTTCACACTTAGACAACTACAGCAGCTCTCCTGGGGGCTCTCCCGTCTCCAGTTTACTTCTCATTGCCAAGAGTCAACTTTCTAAAATGTAAGTCTACTCATGCTTCTTCCACGGGACTCAGCATGGCATAGAAGGCTTCTCACAGCTACACTCAGCTTGTGCCTGTGCCCTTCTGCCACTTTCTCTTCTGTTCTAGCCACATCAATGACTCCCCATCCTCCTGCTTCTGCATCTGGACTCTCTGTGCTCCCTTTCTGCAATGACTGTCCTGCTCTGACAAACTCCTACTTCTCTCCTTCTGGACCTGATGCAAACGTCACCTTCCCCCCATCCACCCAATGACAAATTACATAATTCCCTTCCTATTCTTATGTTGGCTGACAGGCTGTCCTAAGAGTTACATATCTGAGAGCTCCTAAAGGACAGGAACCACATATTATTCATCTCTGCAGCCCCAGCGCCTGACAGAGTGTCACTTAGTAAGTGTTGTTGAATGAAGCAGGGAGCCCCTGCAAGAGAGGCTGTCAGACACACAACCAGGACACTTACCTTACAAGCTACTCTGTGTGGGCACAATTTCCCAAACCCCAGGGGAGGCTGGATGCGTCGGAGCAGAGTGACCACATCAAGGTGCTTGATCCTCCCCCTGGAGACAAAGTACGACATGAGGTCCAGGTCAGTTGGCCTGAGCTTTGAGTCCATCCCACTCTCCATGAAAACCACAGCCAACATTCCAGAAACAGCCCACACAAACCAGATGGAATCCTTTTCAACCTACTTTGCCTCAGGGTCATATTCTGACCATATTCTTTTGAATTCGTCTAAATGGTGAGGCCCCAGAATAGACCAGTCCCGGGTCAGATAATCAAAATTATCCATGATGACAGCCACAAACAGATTGATGATCTGAAAAAGCAAATCAGAAGGAGCGGGCTTTAGCTGTAGAGGGATGGATTGGGTTAGATCCTAGTAAGTACTTCCTAATTATAAGGGTCATGAAACTTTCAAACCCATTTCTCCAAGAGAGGCTGTAAAAACATTCCTTCTAGAGCATGTTTGAGAAAAAGGCAGGCTTCTAGTTTTCCAAAATGGCCTTGGTGTAGTCCCAGGGGAAGAGAGGGGATGTATTATCTAGCCTTCTGAAGTACACTGCAGTTTTATAACTTCATTGTCACCAAATAACTCACACCCTTAAGTCACTGCTACGTGTGGTGGCTTTGAAATTTTTATACAGGAATCAGCAGCCTAAGAAACTGGGGTGGTGACTTCCCGAAGCCGATTAGTAAGCACCAAATCCCTGCTCACAACAAAGGCGGTAGTAACACTCGCCTAATTAAGCAAAAACCTCCCACTGCCAAGTAGAGGGTACAGTGCTCATCAACATAAAATACCCCATAGCGATTTGACGGGGCAACATCATTGGTCTGCATCCCAACTGCTACACAAACATCTGTCAATCGAGAGGAGGAGCTATTCTGATCACTTACCAGAAATGCGCAGAGCATGTAAAAACTGATGAAATAAACAATGGCAAAGTTGCTCCCACACGTGTATTCCTCCCCGGGGTTGTAATCCGACTCCGGGTCGCAGAGCTTTCCCGGGAGGCAGGCCAGCATAATTTCCTGCCAGGCCTCACCTGTCGCACACCTTTTTTAGATTAAGCAAGGAAAGGGCTTTAGTAGGGGAAGGAGGGATTTGAGGCTTAGACTTTTAAGGAATTTTAAGAAAAAATATTTTTTTTTTTTTTTTGTGAGGAAGACTAGCACTGAGCTAACATCTGTTGCCAATCCTCCTCTTTTTGCTGAGGAAGATTGGCCCTGGGCTAACATCCGTGCCCCTCTTCCTCTACTTTATATGTGGGACGCCTGCCACAGCATGGCTTGATGAGCAGTACACATATAATCCCTAGGTCCATGCCTGGGATTGGAACCTGCGAACCCCAGGCTGCCGAAGCGGAGCAAGAGAACTTAACTGCTACACCACCAGGCCAGCCCCAAGAAAAAATATTTTTAATTAGAGCAAAACCTAATTTGGGGAAAAGCCAGTCTGAATTAGCAAAAATCTGAAATCCTTGCTTATTTTCAAATGCAACTTATCTCAGTAAGTGGAGGCCCTGCTACAACTCCCTTTGATTTATAACAATCATTTGACACAGGTACATCAATTCTTTTCTATAAATGGATGTTTGTTTTTGTGTCTTCTCTACTTTAAACACTTACATTATAATTTTTAATGATTATTAATCATTTTTTAATGACCTAACATCTGACAACTTCATTGGTTTCCTGTTCAATTTTGTTGAAAGCAAAGAACTGGAAACTACCTAACTTGCGAATGACTTGGTATCTAGTCACTAGAGTCATCAGAAATTACTTGTATGATTTCTAGAAAGTTCTCTCACTTTGAGGTACCTTGTTTACAAAGTTAATTAACTGGGGTAAATCCCACAAAATTTGAATTGCACATCTTAGGATGTTCTCCGTTGGCTGTGCAAAAGGCCTCTACATTCCTGTTAAATGTCCATGTTTCTGGTTGTGTTTAAGTACATGCTCCCATGCATACGCATATGTCCTATAACTCTCCAGGTGGTCTTCATAGACCTACTAACTCCCAAATGGATAAATCTTAAGCCAGTCACAATCTGAACGACCACAGCAGTTTCAACAGTCCAGCAAAATTCCTCTGTGACTGAAATGCTAGGGTCTCTGTTTAAGAATACAAACAAACACAACTGGGATCAACCGGGAAAGGCCACACTGCTTTAACAACAGGTGTCCTCTGTCACTCTGGAGCCCAGAGCTAGAAACAGGACGAGCCAGACTCAGTTACCTGAAGAGCAGCAGCACCGCCTGCGGAAAGGTCTGGAAATTGTTGTTCCTGTTGATCTGGTTGTTATCTCTCATGGCAACTTTCCCAAACATCTAAGTGGAGAATTATTAGGAAAAAAAGAATAGATTTTGTCATACAAAGACAACCCCATATGTGAATTTAGAACTGATTCAAGTTTGATTGGCACTTCATTCATTCAACAAACATGTGCTGGGCGCGACCGTGTGCCGGGCACTGTGCTAACCACTGGGAACACCGTGAAGTCAGGCACATTCTCACCTCAAGGAGTTCCTACCCTGGGGAGGACACAAAGGTGACTAGACAGGCTACCCCTCCTGATAAGAGCTGGGAGGGTCCAGCCAGCCAGGGAAGCACAGAACAGGCTCACATATCTGAGGCTGGAGGCTTGGGCCAGGGAAGGCCTCTGGGAGAGTGACATTTAGGTCCAGAACTGAAGGGTAAGTAGAAGCCTACCAGATGACAAGGAGGGTGAAGAGTGTTCCAGGCAGAGAGAGCACCGCCTGCAGAGGAGCAGAGGCGACATGCACAGGTGCACCAGGAAATGAAAAGATTGAGTGTGCACAGAGAGATAAAGGTCAGGCTGCAGACAAGCGTGGGGGACCGTGGGTGGGAGCTTGTGGGCTTTACCTTAGGGGCCAGAGGAAGTCAGTAAATACTGTACTTGTGGGGATTATAGAAGCAGACTGACATTTTAGAAGACTGACGCCTGGCCAAGCCTCTCCAGAGGACCCATGGTGGTATGTGCAACGTGGTTTACGGTTCCCTGAGACTACTCTTGTTTTGTATGAGAACATCGTGTCACACAAGACCCTTCAGGGCACACAGCATCACATGCTGCTGAATTACAGGGGCTCATGTGTGCTGACTCTTTGTTCATAACTCCTGAGAAGATTCATAGTAACTTGCAAGTGCTTCTAGGCTTCACAATAAGAAAATAAGCACAACCATTTCCCCGCGCTGGAATACTTCACCTCTGTCACTCACAGCCCTCCCTTATCTGAAAGACGGCATCTGAACCAGCGGAGCATGTGGCGGAGAGGCCAACCAGGAGGTCCAGCGCCACACGCTGCTCGCCACCTCCCTTTCCTCCTGGAGGCTCTGCCCCCTACTTACCCACTTCATGTTAGGGCTTAGCTGTTAATGAAGCCCACTCCCTTTCCCCACCCCAAGAGGAGCTGGGTAGTATCCTGCAGCCCCTCAGCCAGGGTCACAGAAAGGTCTGGTTTCATGCTTCTTCCTAAGGGGTGCTACTGAGGCAAGATAATAGTTCCAGTTCAGCCCTCACCACAGCATCTGGAAATAGTTTGTTTCAAGTGAGAATCTCACTTGGTTACAAGAACCATTTCCTGATTCCTAAAATCAGCTATGTGTTTTCTCAATCAGTTGACTCTCCCAAGACTCAGACTGGAGATGAGGGGTACCACTAACTCCAGCTTTCTGTGGCATATTCCAACCTCTCCTTGCTTTTCTCAGCCTGGCCCTCTCTGGCACAGGCTCTTTCCTGTGGAACTCTCCTACGGAGCCACAGCTTTCTCATCTCCATATCTCTTCAGCAGCCAAGGCATTTCGCTGAAAAATCATGACCTTGTCTTTCCATTCCACCTCACCAAGGTACATCTTGCCACAGATTTGGGGCTACCCAGCAGAGGGGACCCTGGGAAAAGGTGGCTGGAGCTTACCTGCATGCCGATAACTGCATAGATGAAGAACAACATGGCTATGAGAAGGGCGACATATGGGAGCGCCTGGAACAGAGGAAGCACGTGGCTCAGTGCAGGCCTCTTGCCCCTGTGACTGCTCAGGCACAGACTGAAGACCCACGTGGGGCCACATGCTTTTCTTTTCCGTGTTATATTAAAAGGACATCAACAGTGAGGAAGGACTTTTTAAACCCCAGCCCAGCACCATGACCTCAGTCCTGAGTATACCAGCCACATGCACACCTAGTGTTATGAAGCTGCAGGCAGGATGTGCTTTCCACAGTCATTAACGGTGTATCCTAACCCTAAACAGTGTCAAGGCAGACACATCACTCTCATAATAATGTTTAAATTCATCACTGGATCTCTTTGTTGAAATTATCACAATTGATCAAACCATTCCAGAACATGGACGTTTAGATTGCTTCCACTTTCTTTTGTGGGCATGTTTGGGGTGGGGGCGAGGGGCTATTGTAGATCATGTTGCAAAGGAACACCTTTATGCAAAATCACCTTGTGTCTGCTGAAGTATTTCCTTAGGGTGAAGTCTTAGGAGTGGAATTACTGGGTCAGAGGGGAAGAACCACTTTCTGGCTGTTGCTGTAGAAAGCAAGACACCTTTCTTAAAATGCACACTTTCTGAAAGGACCACAGAGTTGGGGGTTGAGCTAGGGAAGAAAACAAGCTAGCTGGGTGGTTGCCAAGCCTGGGATCTCCTTAGGAATGTTAAATACAAGTAGATGGATCGGGTTAGACTCCTGGTCCTTTAACCAATGTTTCTCAACTGCTTTTCTACCTTATCACACGTGACAGAGATGTCCATGTATATGGCACACCTCCACGGAGTGCCCAGACTGTTAAACTAATGCCAAGCACATATGCTTAAAGCATCCACTTTCTCTCCTACCCAAGAAAGGTCATCAGAAAGCCAGTGGCTAAAAAACTTTCCGACGTGTGCCAGCTCTGGATCTGTGACTACCAGCCTGGTCTGGTGCAGTAGCACCATCCTGACAGCTGGACTGGTTAACAGAGTCCCACAGGGTTCGTTTCAGGCTTTCCTCACCATACCTATATACATTTTCTTCCTAGATTACCAAATATTTAGGGATTTTGTTGGTACTGTTTCTCAGTTTTCATGAACCACTACTCTGTGACATGAATTTATCTATAGTGACCAAATCTTTAAAAAAAAAAAAAGTTTAATAATTTCTTTAAAAGTGAGTAAGAATGACATTATTGCACGAATTCATTCTATTTTTATAGCAGTTCAATCAGAAACTTTGGTATTTTATATTAATAACAACTGTCTACGATTTCATTTCTCACCAAGACCATAGCTCACCTGTCTGAGTCCCCCCACTTCGCCCGGCTTCTCTCACAGCTGCATTCCCGTTCCTCCTACAACCTCATTTTCCCCAATAGGACTTGTGATTTTCCTTCATTGAGTTTTTGGATCTACCTCCTTCCCCAGATGCGATCCCTTCTCCTCTTTATGTGTTAAAATCCTTCCCACCGCAGAAAAATGCTTCCTGGGATGCTGACACTGGTTCCCTCAGAGACGGAGGGTGGCAGTGTGAACTCTTTCTTTATACATCTGTGGATAGCTTCATTTGTTAATGGGAATATTTATGACTTTTGAATTAAAAATAGTCAAATAATAAAGAAACAAAGATTCATGATTCACTTTCTGATGTTTGTGCGTATCTACAAATTCCCTATGTGGGTGCACCTTTTAACAAGAATCTGTACCCTTCTATAACCCAATGGATTTAGTGCAGAAGACTAGACTATCTGGGTAGGGTCCTGGAAGGTACAGGAGAAGCCAGATTCTGTTCAAGAATAGACGAGAAACAGGCTGCACCAGCCTGGAGAATCATAGATGACAAATGAGACTTGGCTTATGCCTAAATGTCCTCAACTCTGTAATCCTTTCAGGCAATGGATAACCTGGAGATGGTGATGGTGTGCTGGCTTAGGCGAAGTGGTCTCTGATTCGTATCTAGATTAGTTGACAGACAGGACTGTTGCAGCCTTACGAAGATAAGCCATCCTAGCAAGAGGCTGTTAGGCTTCCAGGGATCTGCTGGGACCCTCACTCTCAAACATCACCATTCACCACTGGGGATTCGGGGGAGGACTGAGGAGCTTGGAGGCTCCTCATCTCTATCAGTGTTGGAAATGTTGCAGATCTCTCAGCTGCTGGTCCTTACTGCTTTCTTTTTTGTTTCCTGTAAGCAAGTAATCCTATCTGATTTACCCAAGTAATGCTGGTTCCGGGTCTCTCCAGCATTCCATATTCTCATGTTCTCACGTGACTTAGGTGGTCACAGTAGTCACGCAGAAGGGAGTCTGGATCCTCCACGACAAGGGACAATCACTGACTTACATACGATCTTCAAAGACAAATAGAGAAGCCCTTGGCATGGCTCTTACCTGAAAGGACTTAATAAAAGTCCACAGCAATGTCCGGATGCCTTCCCCCCTGCTGAGAAGCTTCACCAATCGCATCACTCGGAAAAGACGGAAAAAGGTGATGGAGATTCTATTGCTCTCTTCAGAGTTCTGAAGGGTTATCATGGAGAGGTCAAACCCAATGGAAAGTAGAACATGCAACACTTTCAGAAAAACAGCAACAGATGCAAACAAAGGTGACAGAGGTAAGAATTGAAGATGTGTTTCTAGGGCCTTTTCACCTTAAAAAGCATGATATGAAAGGAAAAGTTACATGCTAACAACACAGGGCTTGGAAAACTGCGTCCACACAGCACATGCATGTCCACGTGGTCTGGTGTGTTAAGAGGAGAACGCTGGACTGGTCAAGAGAACTGGACACTAATGACGAATGCAAACCACTGCAGACACCGTTCTGGAAGGACAATCATGGAGAATACAGAAAAACTAGTGGAAAACTCGACATGGTCAAATAAACTCAAGGAAAAGGCCCAGCCCCTGGGGACTAGTCACTGATCTTACCCCTGGAGTAGCAGTTGGGACAGGGACATTTTCACTTTCAGTTGGCTTTAAGAAATCAAAGATTGAAAATGCATTAATGAACCAGGAATAAAGCAGTGGTTCAGGAGGACATACCCTCCCCCTTTCGAAAAATTTGTGGTTAATGTCCTAGGACCACACGCCTGCTCCCTCCCTGAGAAAAAGCCAGGGGCACTGCTTGGAACTGGACTTGAGGTTGGGGAGCCATTGACACAGGCGCCGACATGTTACTTTCTAATGCACAGCCCAGGACATGCTGCTCCAAGGCTGACAGACATCCAATAAAAGGTAATGCTGCAAGACCTCAGTGTCCCTAAAAACAGAAATGCAGAGAGGGACTCTGCTTCTCATGGGGAGATTGCTTAGGCAGGACTGTGGGTCTCAGCAGCAGGCCACTCCTAACTCTGAGGAACAGAAGGACTCTATCATATGAGGCAGAATCGGGGCACCTGCTGCAGCCCACAGACCTCCTGGACCACAGTCTGTTCTGGGGTCGCATGCCTGGGCAGGATGTGTTCGATGACGCCCTCTCAGACAGGGCTGCCGAGGAGCTGGACAGACTGAGTCAGTGCAAGTAGGAGAAGAGGCTGATTTCCCTGCAGAAGCCTTCACGGCCCAACCTACAGCTCAGACTGCTGTCAGAGAAGAGCACGCTCGGCTCTGCACGTATCTCGGGAAGAAACAGCTCAGAACCAGCTCACCCTGAGCTCCAGCAGTTCTGCCTCCTCTGCAGTCTGGCTGGGTTCCTGTCGCTAGAGCCCCAGGGTGCAGAATCACAGCACTCATCGCCCTATATGCACCTGTCACCCCCTCAGGCTGTGAGCCCCCAGAGGGCAGGGACCTTGCCTCACTTTGCTCAGTGCCCAGCATGGTATCTGGCACTTATTAGGTGTCCAATAAGTGTTTAAGAGAATGCTAAGAGGTTGTAAGCAAACTCTAACAAACATCAGGAGGCATCTTTAAACTACACAGTAAGGGCTGAACAGGAGTTGGGAGATGATGGCCTTTCTCTTCCCTTCAGTAGGGTCACCCCCACTGAAGCAGCTGGTTTACCTGGTAACCAACGAGGAAGGAGCTCTTCTAGTGGGGGGCCCAGAATGTCTGGGTGCAGCCTGGAGCTCCTAGGGGGCCTTTCTGCATGGTGTGTCTGTACAGCGAGGGGTCTGTGTGCATGCAGGGATGTGCACGCTAATCTGATGGGTTCTCTTCCCTGGGGATACAGGGAAAGTAAGGGCTCCATTCTCAGATCTCACTCTCATCAACAGCTGCCTCCTGACATCAAACACAAAATTCTATAAAATTCATAGAAAATAAGGAGGTTGGGCACATCATATCACAAGCGAAATTTAGCAATGAGAGTACGAACCCAGGACTAACAGGTTTTGATAAGGTTAAAAAGAAGTCCCTGCTTCACCTGGGATGCTCAGAATGTGAACTCTCAATGGGTTTGTCCAGCCCAGGGTCACTATTTTTATTTTCTTCTTCTATTATCTCACCTCAAAACAAATAACATCTCCTTAAAGGGACAGATGATGGTTTTTAACTCAAGACCTTAACAAAAGAAGGAATTCGTTTTCCAAAGTTCTCACTGTTTCCCACACCATCATCCCAAAAGCTGTGTGCAGGGAGGATTCAGTCTCGCCCATGCAGCTGGAGGGTGAGGGTGTGTGTGTGTGTGTGTGTGTGTGCGTGCGTGTGTGTGCGCGCGTGTGCACGCACGCATCTTTGTGCCGATGCTCAAGGGGACCAGAGTGTGCATAAGACAGAGCACTCTCCAGTATACTTTTGAAATGTCCATAACTTGTGTGTTGGACCTGTAAGAGAATAAGGAGGTCTGGTCGGGGAGACACTCTTTCTGGCCACCGTCTGGCCCAGGCCTCTTTTGCCTGCCACTCCCTATCCTGCTCCAAATCTGACAGATCTTGCACCACCTCCTTCCTTGCGACGTGGCCAGACTGACTTTTGAAGTGCACATCTCTTTCTCAACTGATATCTTTGAAGTATGACAAATCTTGGGCTATGAACTTGAAACCCTGGATATTCTTTTGTTTAAAAAAAAACAAAGATAAAGAGGAGACAGCATTTGTGAAGGCACAAGGCAGCACAACATGCAAGAAAGGCAGGAAAGAGCAAATGGCACACCAAGCTGCGCGCACCCCTGTCCAGCCTGTGACACTTCCCCTTTCCCCACATGCCACACTGGGCAGTGAGGACCGCTGCAGGGGAGGATGTCACTGGTAGCATTGGGGGACAGTGCAAGTTGCCAAAATATCTTACAAATTGGAGGAACTCTGAGGATGGCTTTGCCCAAACTACAAATGCCAGCCTGATGAAAAAGCAGGCCAGCTCTCACTCTGGGCTGCACACTGGAACTGCCTGGGGATCATTAACACCATCTGATGCCTAGGTGCCACCCCAAAGATGCTTATTTAATTGCTCTGGGGTGTGTCTGAACTTTGGGGGTTTTAGAAGCTCCCAGGTGATTTTTATGTGCTGCCAGAGCTGAGAACTGCAGTCTTACACCAGGGTAGAGGTAGGCCATGTCTTCATCTGGTCACCCACACCGGCTAATTCCCTTTAGGTCTGGAGTGGCCAGAGAGTGGAACCATTAGAGCTGAGCAGTGGGTTCTTTTGGAATTGATGAGGGTTCAGTCCTCTGATGAATGCAAAGAGATTAGACTCCATCCACATCTTCCTTTCAAAGGATGGAGGCGGCTTGGAAACAAAGGGAGCTGGTAAAGGGTGGAAATGGCACATGAGTGAGCTGATGCTCTGCTGGACTCCTGGCATCAGCCACAGGACACCCCTTAGAGGACATGAGAGTGAGGAAGGACGCACCCTCAGGTAGCTTTCCAAAGACAGCTGCTAGAGGCTGCGTGATCAGTTTTTAAAGAGGGAATCCCAGTGTCACCTCAGGGTTTGGACCAGATGACCTCAGTAGCTCCTTGCACCCCTGAGATGCCACATACTTCATCTGGGACCCCTACATGGAGATGGCCACTCAGCCTCAGGAGGCCAAACTCTATGCCAGGATCCAGAAAGCTCCTTCGATCCCTGGGGCTCTCCTGAGGTTCCTTCCAGCCCGTTCTCACAGGCTCCCAAGCAGGCTCTTGAGATACAGGCTTGGGGCCAGCCCCCTGCAAGGAGGCAAACAAGCCCTGAGTTCCCACGTGCAATCAAATGGATCAGCCTGCTCTTTCCGCATTAATTCGTACCTTTTCCTGGAAAAGCTGAGAGAATTCAGGCAGGAAGCAAACCAGCATCCCAGAACCAGGTAACCTGAGGCATCCCGGAGAGCCCAGTGTTTTGGGGGAGGCTCCCTCTGACTACTTCTGACCTGGCATGTAACAACTCTGGGAGGGAAGGCTTCTGTATTTGGGATTGCTGAGTCTGTGTCCAGAAACCAGCGACCCGGTCCCTAGAAAAGGGTCAGCATACAGAACGGAGGGCTGAACAACCTGCCCACAGGTTCAGAACAAGAAGTTGAGTGCAACTGTTGGCCACCTGGTCCAAACTGGGTACCTGAGAAGTCAGGGACAATCCCTGGGAGTGACATCCTACTGACTTTTTAAATGCTCTTCAGTAAGTGATAACAAGGCAGACATGGCTTTTAAACCCACATTTTGCTTTCCCAGCAATGATGATAATGGGTAAAGACTAAATGTCAGAGACAGCCATTCCCAGGTTATGGAGAATAAGATGCTAGGTCATTTCACCATTCAAGGAACATACTGGCACCAAAGAGGGAGCAAACGTGAGCCTGCCAGTCCTCATCTGACATTTTAGCAGCTTGGGGAATGTTATGACCAAATGTGATGAACACAAGTCCATGAGAGCTATCAAACCAGGATCAAGCAGGGTGGGGACCGTGGGAGAGGGCAGCAGGATAGAGAGGGCCAGGTGAGCGTGCAGGCAGGACAACGGAAAGGGCCATCCAAAATGTTTTTGCAAAGAATACAAACGCAAGCTCGATTCCTCATTTCCAGGCCAGATCATTCATTCTTGAAGACTGTGTTGGCATGTCACAGAGCCAAGTGTAACTGACCAAGGTGGCCCCAGCTCAGGCCCCAGCTCAGTCCCCAGGCTGGAGACAATGAAATATGGGATGGGAAACAATTTAGATGACCATGACCAACAGCATGTCCTGTGAAACTCAGTGAAAACCAAAGGTGGGGAAGCAAAATGAGCACAAAGTCTTTAAAGTGCTTTTGCTTCAGCAACGACTTCACCGTATATATGTTTATATATACTTGCCGCTACAATTTTCTAAAAACAAAACCAACATGAAAATCAATTAGGAACAGAAAAGAAAGATCAACAGAGGTTGGGGGAGAGAGCACAGCAAGTTAAATATTGCAAAAAATCATGACTTATGGCAGCTAAAGCAGCCAACAGTGGACCAACAGTGTTCATGCTCAGCTGACCCAGGAGCTTGGGGACAAGGCCACCAAGGGAGATGATGTGCGCCACTCCCCCTGGGGACCCAGCGTGTGTGGAGAGGGGGCGTAGGAATCAACAGTTCCACTTGGATAGTTACACCATCAGAGGGTAAGGACACCCAGTCTCTTTTATCTTTGTGCCCATGGCCTACGAATTGTAGATCCCCAATAAGCACGTGTCAAAAGACTGAATAAAGGAAAAGGTGGCCTTAGGCATTCCCTCTGCAATGAGGCCCAGCACAAAAATGCTGAGCTCTCCTAAGGTGGTATCCTACCGGCCCAGGGCGGAGAACTGGCATCGCCACTGGCTGAGGACGGTGTGGTCTCGGGCTACATCTGACCAGGGGAAAGGTCACTTACTGAAAACCAGTAAGAGAATGTTTACGGAGTGATTTTGAAAGTCTGACTGAATGCCAAAATGGGCCAATGAAAGCCTGTTTTGTACAGACACCCAATGTCAAATGCTAACTAAAAAATTTAGTGTGGGCTTTTACAGACTCGTGGCTTTCCTAACTGATGAAAGGCGAGGACGGACATGTCTGGGACACTGATGAGCATGCTGGGCCAGAAGGGACAGCTGCCATGGGCTCCTGCCCCAGCACACGGCAAGGCAGCCAGGAAGCCAGGCATGTGCCGTCACCGAGCACACCGGCCAACAGGTGGGTCAGGTGTTAGAGAGCTGGGCTGTTCACCTGGTGAACAAACCTTGGCCACATTCTGGTACCCAGAAACGAAGCATTTACACCCACCACCTGCACAACACTGTAAGCACTGAGCGCTCCAGGGAGACCTGGTGAAATGGTAGTCACTATAATTTCACTTCCATTCTAGATTGTCTCTGACTGACGTAAGGGTGGTTCCAAAATTTTCCTGTAAGTATTCTTGGATTTAGGTTGTAAGCACTTGACACTGTGAGATAATTAAGCAGGCAGAGTCTGGTCATAAACTCAGGAGAGAGCCCAAAGCAGCCCAGTGAGGGTCCTGCTGTTCTCCCATTAGCATCAGATTATTTTATAACCAAGCATAATTCACAATGAACGGCAATTTTATAGCTGACTTACAGAATATCTCACATAAAGTGGAATTTACTAAGTCTGGGCTGATGGAGGCTGGGGGACATATGTACCTAGGTCTAGTAAAATACCATTTTAATACCTTGTCATAGCATGAATTTGGGTGTCACAAGGCTTAAATCACACCCTCATGGACATGGTAATGTCTTATAGTCCATTTCATTATTATTACATGGAAAATCTACATTTAAAATAATACCATAGTATCTCCCTAACACTTTGGGTTTTTAGCAAGTATTTTCACAAATATTCATATCATTTTATCATCACAATGTATCTAAGAAGCAAGGAGGGTAGATATTTACCCCGGTTGATCCACGAGGGAACTGAGGCCTGGGGCCAACAAGCCAGTTTTAAACCAGGACTAAACTAGCCCCTGCCAGGTCTCGGGGCTGCCAGGCTGGCGGCTGTCCCACTATTCTACACTCCAGAATCAGCCTGGACCCAAAACCAGTGGCATAAAGAGATTTCATCATTCTTATTTGATGCAGGCAGTCTAGGCACCAGGATGGACCATATAATTACATAGATGTCAGCCAGGCAGAGCGTGATGGCCCCTTCCCAGCCAGGCATTGAGGGAGGAGGGCCGGGCTGGCAACATGGAACAGAAAGCCAACACTGCACACAGTCCCGCCCCATGCTCCGCTCAGCCCCACGAAGGGCTCTGCACAACCTGGGCACACACACTGGACACCCACTAAGACTTGCTGATGAGCTGGGGACAGACCAAGTGGGCAGGGCCATTTCTGCCTGCCTCAGGCCCTCTGGCCTAGGCATGGGTCAGATCCGAGAGGAGCTGGTGGGAGGCAGTGCTTCCCTTTCTCGAGCCTCTTAATTTTGAAAGAGGGCTCTCAGGATGCTTCTTGAAGGGGGCTGGCTCCACCTACCATGCTGCTACTACACTCGTTCCTTCGTCAAAGGATTCAACTGAGTGCAGCAAAGGAATCCTGACGTATCCCCTGATACGCACTGGGCCCTCCTGCCCCTGGTCCAGGGCAGCCTTCAACCTGCATCACTGTCTGGGGAGCTAGGATGGACTGTTCCCCAGTGTCACCAGTCAGACCTAGCAGACACAGGGTATAACTGAGGACACCAGTGGCATGTCCACGTGCTCAGGGCACGGCTGTGGGTTTTCCCTCCCGTGCCTTCACATAACCACTGTGGGTACCAGGGCACATGTTATGAACCCCGTTTTACAACTGGAAAAACCAAGGCATAAAGCAATCAGATGACTGCCAAAGTCACAAAGCTAGCAAGTGATAATGTTCACATACTCACATAATTAACTCCTAGCCCTTAACATTTTCACAAGGTCTTCTTTTAAAATAATGTTTTCGTTTCAAAATGGCAATTCTACATTTACTTCCCCACTCTCTTTCAGGGGAGGGGGCTGGGGTGAGGGAGGGGAGACTATAGAATGTTCTTAGTCTTTCTAAACAAGTATGTGCATGGATTTCTAAGATGCCCAGAGATCCAGGGGTGGGGTTTCTAGTCTCCTCCATGTCAGAGTTAATGAAAACAATCACATTACAGGACACAAAGTTTGCTACTTACATTCACTTCAGTTATAGCAATATCAACGACGCTACCAACAACAATCAAGGCATCAAAAGTGTTCCATGCATCAGTGAAATAGTGCTGTTAGGGCAAGCATTCAGAAGCCACAGAGGAGAGGAGGCACAATAGGAAAAAAGAAGAAAATGACAGTGTTATAAAAGGCGAACATTCTAGCATTATGCCACCCGGCTACTTGAAAAGTCACCCTAAACCAAACGTATTATAGGCATGTCACTTTGGGGATTGCTTCCGACATAGCAAATAAAAACAATTACAGACACCTATCATGCCCTGCCTACCAGTGACCTGCGTAATGCTGCAACATAGTCAGTCCTCCAAAAGGTTATTGGTGTCCAAAAAGGCCCAGGATAAGGCTCTATCTCAATGGCCTCTTTTCCACAGCTCTCATTAGACAATTCCGGTTTAGATCAAGTGAAATTGGGATCTGTGACTTGTCCAGGTGATGCCAGTGTGGGGCAGAAGAGGAATGTGCACAGACAGAGAGAGCACAAGAGGCGGGCGGCCACAGGCGGGTGCGTACTCACGTCAGCTTCGCTGAGGGCCACATCTATAATGCTGCCGATTACGATGAGGGAGTCAAACGTGTTCCAGGCGTCACTAAAATACCCCTGGACAGAGCAGGCAGGGGGCAGACGTTTATGAGCACCAATGAATGAAACGCCACACAGACCATATGGGGACACATCCGAGGCCCCGCAGCACCCATGGCAACCAAGTGGGGCGGGAGAGCCAAGGGGAGGCAACAATACTGTTCACTGGTGGAAAGGGACACAGGGGAGTGTGTGTACCTGCATGTGAGAAAGAGGGTGCACGCATGCACACACGTACACACACAATGCAGAACCATGGCCCTGAGCAGTACCAGACCAAACAGAATATCTGCAGGACAGAGGAAGACATCTGGCAACCCTGCCCTGGCACCAGGGTCACAATCCCAAACCCTCAGAAGCTGATGGAAGAGTAAGGCCCTCCCTTTCCTTGCATAGGGTCCCTAATCACCCCTCTTCCTCCTCTTCTCCCACTTGAAGAGCACTGTGACCGGCCATCTGACATGATCTCATTTCTGTGCCCTTGAAACAAACCAGTAACCCTTCCCTCCCCTTGCCTGTCCAACAAGAATTACAAAAGCTGTGCCCTGTGGCAGGATGCCCGAGACAAGTCCCTGTCCTCCCAGAGCTCTCAGTCTCACAAGGACACAGACAGGGGGCAATGACTTACAGGGAGAAAGGCACAGCAATACACACAGTCTAAGGCACAGAGTTGTGGCAAAGAAACTCAGTCTGCATTGTGGGGATGGGGGCTCTGTAGGGAAGCCACGTAGGAAGTAGGTGTTACAGAGGAAAAGGGCAGTGAAGGATGACGAGGATGCTCGAGGGCTCCCACTATCCTCAAGAGAAGCCCCAAATTGCCAACGGGCTCCTCCTCCCCCCCAGCTCTTGCTCTCTTCCCCTCCCTTTTCCCCCTCCAGGCTAAGAGGACTCCTTTCCATCCCTCAAAACCACCATCACGTTCTTCCACACCTCTGGATGCCTCTGTAAGCCTAGCCTCCCCACTCGAACTCTATCTGCTAAATCTACTTCCTCCTTCAAGGTCAGATCTAATGCCCGCTCCTTGAGGGAACCTTTTCAGATCCTCCTGGCTTCCATCCCCATCCTGTTGACTCTGCATCTCTCTCATGTCTTGACCACTGAATCTGGGGTCTTTGTCTGTGGGTCTACCCCACCGAAAGTCCTCTGAGGATGAGGACTATGCTGATTATTCTCTCTCCTCCTCCACTGACCCCACTATCTAGCCCAGAGCCTTGAACCCAGTTAGTGCTTGACACATTGCAATTTCTCTTTCATCCATCAACTTGCACCCTACCGGTCATTCAGCTCTGCCCGGTTCTTGTTTCTTCAGGTCCTTATATTTTGCAACAATTCTGAAGGTACAACACATCCCTATAATTGTGAATTACAAATCCGTATATATGTGGCATACATTTTACGTATGTCCTCTTCTGGGCTCAATATAGTACGTGCTAAATTAGCACCTGTTGTCTCCTGACACCACCAGGAAGTCCTTGATTGGAGGGGGTGGTGGGGAGCGCGTGCACAGAGGCTTCTGGTTGCAAGCTCAATGACTCTGCCAGTAAATCAACCATGTCTTTTCAAAAAGTCAGAACATGTTTTGGAAATAAAAATTCACATCTAAATTATGTAAAAAGGGGCCCAGCATGCTTACAGTTGGGTACACTTAGTGCTGGATCAAAAAAACAGAGCAGAAAGTACTTTGAAGTGTCAGGTCCCATGAACTTGTGATCAAACGCAGGCCCAGAGGAAGCCACTGCAGAGCCCCAGGCTTTTATGACACGATAGAAAATGTGGACATGTTGGCTGTCCTAACAACTGGAATAGGGATGTTTATCCTAGTTACTCTTAATCACGCAAGTGCATTTATAGGGGAGCTATGACACTGATTGATGGTTTGGTTTTATTAAAAATTTCATCTTAGATAATGTAAGATTTTCCCAACCAGCTGCCATGACCTCTGAGCCACTCTTCACCCCTCTCCTCCTGGCCTACAATCATAGTGCCTCTCTCACACATGACCCCCATCTCGGCCCTCTAACAAGTGAACAAAAGGAGTTCACCTGCACCAACTCTTATGATCTGTGTATACAAGTCTAATGGGAAGGTCTACGTACTAAATACCACATCTTACATCTGCTAGCTTTTCTTCTCATGATGCAGGGCTCTTGGCTGGTAGAACTGAGGAAAGGTGGGCCGCTTTGAGGACTAGACCAGTGCCGCTCAGCATGAGGGTCACGTTGGGTAGAGATGAGATAAAGCGCTTGTACCAGGACGTAAAGGAACACACTGCTTCCTTCATTGAGGAAGACTCGTAACAAAAAAGTCAGCTGGATCAAAGCATGCTGAGTGCGGCCGCTGACATCCCCATGTGGTGAGAGTACAGGTTCTCTCGTAAACTGTTCACATGGTCGCAAGTGGGTAACACACAGCTGGCTGACCGGCAGCCTTGCCATAGAGTATACTTGAGGGGCAGAGCCCGCCCTTTTCTTTGTGGATTTAACAGCAACTCAAAAGTTAAAGAGAGCGTGGTGATCCTCCCCCTCTGCTCAAGAGAGGAATTGATGCCTTAATAAAATAGTTGGTCATCAGTTAACAGTCAGGCCTCTAGGTACAAAGAGAGCAGAAGACCAAGTGTTCCTCCTTCTCTCCTGTCCTAGCACATGACCAACCCCTGCCCGCGTCTGCACCACATGCTTTACTCCTCCCATTACAGTGCATCATTTATGGAGGCCAAGCCCACCTGTGCACTGGATGCCAGCCTCTCTCACCCACTTCGTTTATTCCTGAACAACTCCTCTCTCTCTCTCCTGCTCTCCCCCCGGCCCCCGCCCCCAAATTATCAGAATTCACCTTTGGATCATTCCTACCATTCTACAAACTATTCTCCAGCTGGCCCATTCTGGCCCACTGTGGTGTATAAAATCCCTTTAAATCAACATAATAGGGGCTTAACATTTGGGTCCTGGAACTTTTTGGTAATCTCATCAACTCTCTTTCCAGAAGATCCCTCACACTCACAAAATTGTGCCCAAATCCTGGAGGATCCATGGACTGAAGACTGACACCCCTAATCCAGTGACAGGAGGCTTGGGTTAGGACAGGTGGCTGGAATCACAGGCTCTGATCAGGTGGCTCTGCTAGAGATCCAGGGGAGGCAGAAAATGCCAGCCCTCCTTTTATGCCTACATCCCGTTTCCCTGTTTAGTAGCCTCCTAGGTAATAAAATCACTGTCAAGTGAGCACGACTCAGTGCCCTACCCCTTTCCCACCAAAGTCACCATAGTGTCTAGGCAACCAGAAGATGAGACATGGGCTTCTAACAGAGCATGCATCTCCATGCTGTCTCCTCTTGGCCAGTGGAGAACCTCCTACAATTGAATACTGAGTCCAGGGCCGCTCAAGTGGAACCAGCAGTCCCTACCAGCCCAGCCAGAGTCAGTCCTTATATCATTTTTGTCCAGCCCATGTGCTTAAAAAGACCAAGCAAGTCTGCCACATGCAATAACATCTATTACTCAGAAACATTTCTGACTCTGAGAATTCAAACAATAAACCAGACTAATGTGGGCCTTAGGGCCAGGAAGCTCCATTATTTCCAAGAACTCTATTCCGGTTATCTGTTGATAACTGTTTCCTGCCCTACTGTGGGCTCCTGGAGGCAGGGCCATGACCAGTAGCCAGGATAGAGCATAGGTGTGGCACACAGTAGGGGGAAATGTTTATGGAATGGAAACAAGAAAAGCAGCCCAAGTCCAGGTTCTTTTTGCTGCCTGGAGACTCTCTCATCTGCAGATTTGAAGAAGCCTATACAAATGACCTGCCTTTTGCTGTTAACCATGGCAGCCAGACCACTCACCAATTTCTGCCAGGGATTGTTTGGGCAGTGTTTGACCCAAGTGATGACCCAGAGTGCCAACTTTTGCTAGAAACTGGAACTGACAGCTTTCTAACTAGCATAAGCCTTTTCTAAAGGTCAAGCGAGGGCTCAGAGAAAAAGCTCTTCACTTTTGGCCACTCTACTCTGCCCAAACATCCTGTGATGGAAAAGCAGGTACCATCTGAAAGCCTCTTGGCTATCTGAAGGCTCTACACCTAAAGGCTCCTCCATTTACTCCTTTCATTTATTCCACCAATCTTTACTGAGTAACCAGCACGTAGCAGGCACCGTGTGAGACAAAGAAGACCCAGGCTGCGACCTCGAGTAGCTGCTCATCTCAGTACTAATGGAGTAGTACTGATGATGGTGATGCACAGTAAGCATGTAACAGATGCACACGTGAAGGGAAGAGCTGACTCTAGCTGGGCTGGTAGGCACAGTGTCACAGAGGAGCCAACATTGCAGACAGGCCTTACAGGATAACAAAGTGGGAGAAGGGCCTCCAAATGCAGAAGCACAAGCCGTGGAAGCGTCTAGCATGTTAACAGTTGGGGATGGGGTAGGCAGAAGGAATGACAGGGAGAAAACGGCTGGAAATGAAGCAGAAATGTAAATGGGCCAGTGTTTGGCAGAAGACTTTGACCGTTAGACTAAGAAAATTATATATTTTTTCTCCTGCAATAGGTGGCCAGTATCAGAATTTCATTGGAAAAGTCGTGTGGCCAGCTCTGGGTTTACAAAGGGAGTATGTGGAAGGTGAATGGCAGGGGCCTGAGGCCAGCAGCAGGGAGATGATTTAGTGGTCAGAGTACCTCGGAAGAGAGAGGGCAGTCGAGGTTTGGATGAGATGGAGCTGGCCACTGAAGCCTCGAGAGTGTACACATTTACCAGGTGAGAAGGGGACCAGGAGAGAGCTCTGGGAAACCCCAATGTTGAAAGGACAGGACAAGCCCATGAAGAGATCTAACATAAAGTTCTGGTGAACGAGAGGGATATTTGGTCTCAAGCATTATTCAGCATTAAAATAAATCCCCTAAAATATATATGATCACTGAAGAACTGAAAAGACAGTATCCAATTTCCTTTCCAGGAGGTGGAGAACGAACTCCAGGAAGACTGCGGGGGCTTGATCAAGCAGCCATATTCCCACCAGGCACCCTAGGGCAGGGAGTGCTGTCCTGGGAGGCTGACAGGACCAGATGACCCAGTGTCCTCTGTGCACCAGCTCTGAACAGAAGCATGAGGACAGCAGTAAAATATTTTTTCTTTCCCCAAGCCCAACCACTCTTTACTGTTTCCAAGCCCAAGTGGCTAGGGGTATAAATTAGACATTTTTGAGGTAGAACCAAGATCAACATGCTTTGAGGTCTAAGACTTGGGAACAAAGTGTGCCTCTCTGGGGAAAAGTCCACAACCAAGGCAGGTAACCTGGCCTGGAACACATGCTGGACAGAACACCAGATGGGTGACACCTGGAAGCACGAAGAGGGACCCGCAGACAAATCAGAAGTGCTCTTTATACCTGTAGGAGCCAGTACTTTGGAAAAGCCCCTTCTTCCTCAATCTGCCTGCTTGAGGTAAGAGAATTCATCGGAGAATTCCAGTGAATTCCCTTGAGATTACTGGAGGGAAAGGCCAGGAGAACGGGGCTGGTCCCTTACCTAAATTATGGCCAACCTTTCAAAACCCTAGGGCGCCATGGTCAACTCCAAGTCAAAAGCACAAACAAGAGTGCACAAGGTCAACACCCACCTGCGGGGTTTCCCTTGGGGAGCTGACACACACTCAACAGCCTGCTGGCTTTGCCCTAATTCTCTGGCTCTCTGGCATCTCACCACCTTCCACTCTTACCTGACCCAGGCTCAAACAACTCTTCCCGTGCAGGGAGCCTGCCTCCCTCACCAGAGAAGCTCCCAGCTCTGGGTCTCCTGCCTCTGAGCCTCACCTCAGCCCTTCTGCTTCTGGAGGGTCCTGGACTCTTCCCTCTACATGTGCTCTCTCTCAGGAGGCCCCGTTTCTCAGTCAGGCTCTTGAACAGAGAAGTCCCAGGTCCCAGGGCCAGGTTTCTCAACTTGTTTTAACCCTTCCTCCTAAAACACCTTCTCGCCTACCAGGAAGGATTTTGTTGAACTTCACTTTCTGCAATTCTATTACAAAACAGCCACAACCCTATCTCTCCTGACAGAGATGCTGACGAGTTCTCCTAAGGTGTGCCCCTCACTGCAGAGAACCCCACCCCACGGACCCTGTTACAGAGCTCCTCACGGGAGACAAAGATTTTCCTGAGATGAGACTGAGGTGGGCCAGGAGGTCCAACCCTCCGTCCTACATGACCATCTTCTCGAAGATTGTTCCTCTGCAGCCTTTACAACGTGGTTCTTCAGCCTGGCTGCCCCTCTGGCAGGGAAGGAGGGGCCTCACTTCTCTGTGAAAGACCCCTAGCCGGGCTTGGTTTGCTAACACTGAAGACAAGATGAGGACAAGTCAGGGAGCATTTTAAGACGGGCTTCGCTTCTTGGTGAACTGAGTCTCTCCGGCTCCTCCAGACACATAACAACAACATAAAATCTCTCCCCCTGGCTCTGGTGAATGCAGCGACAGTGCTCCTCAAGCATAGAGAGGCTGCTATTGCTGTTTTAAAATTTCTCTCAATTGTAATCTGAGGTTATCTTATTCACTGAAAATATCCCGTTGGGTAAAACTACAAAGCAGCACAATTTCTAGCGGAAATCACTCATCTTAAAACTCTGATCAATCAGTACTGATTATAAATTAGCTACTCATTTCCCCTTATTATCACTAGTCTGTTCACACGCCACAGAACTCTCCTCCCAGGTTTGCTATCAGCAGTTTACTGGGCCAGCAGTGTGCTACAAGCCATCGAAGAGACGGCCTGAGAGAGGCTACCCACATACAGACACACACACACACGCCATGGGCGACTGTGCCTTCTCTTTAGCCTGGAACGAGCTTTCAAAAACTTCAGAGCTTCATCACCAGGCAAGGGAAGATACAGCAGAGGATCTAGGAAATGTTCCATAGATATGTTCTGTGTTGCATTTCTCAACAACAATTTTGACATTCTTACTTTGCAACCTTTTCCATCAGTCCAGACAAATATTGTTCAAAGAGTAAAGGGGAAAGGGAAGCAAATCAAAATCTCAAAGGAAATTAAGATGAATTTGGAGAAGGAGGAAATGTTTATGTATGTAGATATGGACAAGTCACAGTAAATAACATCTGGCCATGCAGAAAGTGCCAAATTTGACCCCACTGCAATCACCCCAATTGGTCACTTACAAGTGTCCTTTCTTTTTGGTCCACAAAGATCTGATAAAGATTGCATAGAAATTAATTCAAATTAAAGAAAGGAACAGTTGTGAATTAGAATTCCACGTAAGTATGGAGTATATGAAACCATTATTTCATAATCCAAGTCTTAAATTACTGTTGTCAGATATGCTACATACAGATGAACAAGTATCTGGTCACTGAACTCTGTCATTCTCTAACTCTGATTGTTTGAAGCTTTCCTAGAAAAGAAACTGAGGGTCAAATGCCCCACAGCTCAGCCAGGATTTGCCCCTCTGTCTAGGGTCTTAGAATGAGGGAATATCATTGCCTGATGATGGTGATGACGATGGTGGCCAGTAACAACATTGACATGTCTACAGCATGGTAGTACATGTCAGGTACTCTTCTAAGCATGGCACATATAGTGATTCTTACTCCTTACAACCACTCTATGAAATAGGACTATTAGTGTCCCCATTTCATGGATGAGAACATTGAGGCACAGAGCAGTTAAGTAACTTGCTTGAGTTAGCAAGAAGAGAGTAGGGATTTGAATCCAGTCTGGTTCCAGAACCGTGCATGCTCTCTGACACTGCACTTCTCTGTCTCTTCTACTACAGACACTGACAACCGTGGAACTGGATTCATTCCCTCCAAAGGAGACACAATACACTGAGTAGTCCAATAGAGTTTAAAAATTTCATGTCTTGTTTTGTCTTAAAATCAAGTGAAATTTTTCTAAATTAAACAAACGAAAGATGGTATGGCTGTGAGAGGTCCGCAGCTGCTAGAATTTCCCATAAAAGGTGAAAAAGATGCTGTAGACCAGGAACAAATAAAACCAAAGTCTTCATGCTGGAAATCTAAAAGTAAAATCAGGGCCGAATTCTTTCTGATGGGTATGTTAAAACAATTCCTCCAATGCTCAAGTAATGAGGCCAGTTTCCCCGAGACAGCATGATATATGCTATTCTAGAAACAGAAAATCAGGTTTCAAAACAATCTCCATTCTACAAATTCCCAATTCTCTCTTCCCTTCTTCTTTTTCTCAAAATTGTTTTTACGAGGTTTTGTTTTTGCAGATTTATTTTCCCACATGTATACAGATGCCTTAATCAGATTTTAACATTATCAGGTGATAAGCCAGTTAGCGGCCAGAACAATGCAGCATAATTCAGTAACGCCAGACTAACAGGAAGTGGGTGCTTCTCTGGGGTGATTCAGCGACAGCCTTTGAAAGTGGGTTCGGCAACTCACCTTAGGTTTAAATGCAATGACTTTCAAAACCATCTCGACAGTGAACACCCCAGTGAAGACCATGTTCAGAATGTCCATGGCGTCATTGAACATCTTGGACTGCTCATAGTGCTGTGGATGAAGACAGAAGCACAGTTCTCAGAGGTCCATTCCAGACTTGCAAAAGGAGGCTCCCCAGCCCTCTCCTCCCTGCAGGCATCCCTCCTCCACCTGGACATGGAGGCAACCTCCACAGGCCAGCATCCTCTCCCAACGATTCCACTGGCACTGTGAGGTCACATGGTTAACTCCCCACAAAGCGCAGGGGGCCTTGACAAGACGAGGATGACTGGATGAGGAAAGGGAAAGACGTCAATTTCCTGTGCTCAGGATAAAGGAATCCACCCTTTCTTCTGGCAGGGTTTATACTCAGGGCCTTGACCCAGGCACCATGCATAACACACCCACAAGTCTATGAATACAGGTAGGATTTGGTTACGGATAAATTTTATGCCATTTAGGTCTATATTCAATAAAAGTCAACATTATCTTGACTTCACACTTTTCCCTACATCAGCATATGGTTCTTCTCATTCATAAAGAATTCTTAAATGTAAGGAAAGTGCCAGAAAATTTATCCTTGGCTATCTTTAGACCCATTTTCCAGACAGCAGTGGGAGTTGGTTTGATTTGCTCAAGTTCTTGAAGTCAGTGTGAAAAATGAATCTAGACATTGGTCTTTGCTTCCTGTCCTAGTGCAATATCCACCAGACCACATAACTGCTAGAAACGCTCACTATTAACACTGCACTGTAGTCCAATGTGAACAATTGAGTGGAGTTACACTCTTTGCCCCCAGCATGAACAAGGAAGAGCTGTAATGTAGGTCAAACTCGATACTCCAGGAACTGGAAGATTCCTCACTGTCACTGAGAGCTCTTTGAGGACAGGAATGTGACTGAGGTTTTGTTTTTTAACATTGGGTGTTTACTCTGTGACAGGCCCAGAGCTAAGTGCCTGACGTGAATTATCCGGTATAAACTCTATTTCTGCAGCGAGCATGATAGATTTCCCATTTTACCAATAGAGAAAGCAAGGCTCAGGGGGTTTAAGTAACTTTCCCAAGGTCGCCCAGCTGGTAAGGAGTAAAGTCAGGATTGAAACCCCTGTCTGCCCAACTCCACACAGACAGGGCATTAGTCCTCAGACACTGCCTGGCCCACTGTTTATGGAACTGAATGCCACGCTCAGGCTCCATGGAAGTGTTTCCTACAGTCACACTGTACAGTCTCTTAAACAAAAGAGTGATCTTAAACTCCTACCGTGACCACTGTTAGCCAGAATGGGATTCTGGCCAAACTACAGCCCAGACTCATCAGAAATCAAACCCATCCTCTTGTGAGGGGGCGGCACTCCACCCTCAGGATTTGGGGCATGGGGCTGTGCAGAGGCCCAGACGTGACCCCACGGCTGTCTCCATTTTTACCTGCATGGCCAAGCAGAGTGTGTTGAGCATGATGAGGACAAACATCATGTATTCGAAAGGCGAGGAGTTCACCACGTACCAGAACTTGTACTGGTAGGGGTTTTTGGGGATGTATCTCCGCAGGGGACGTGCTTTCAAGGCGTATTCGACACATTGACGCTGCAAAGGCAGAAAAGAGCAGGAGGGGTCCTGAGCACATCCATGGAAGGAGGACACAGTTCTCATCTGTTCTGAGAGCCGACGCACACCTACTGGGAGGGACTGTGGACAGAAACTGCTATGGCAACAACCACGGGCACCACTCTGCATTGCTGACAGAGGGCCCCCACCTCCATGACCTCATCTGACCCTCACAGCAACCGCGGGCATGGGCAGAGCACCCAGTTTGCTTCCCTTTCAATTGCTGAAAAACTGAGGTTCGGAGATCTGGACTGCCTTGCCTGAGGTCCAGTGGTGCATAAGCACAGAAGCGAGGCCTGACCCAGGTCTTATCCCTCCCTTTCCTCTACACCGGGGGATTCCGTCTACAGTTCTCCTGCCCGTGCCGTCATCCAGGAAAGGAAGCCAGGTAATGAGAGGCACAGAAGTCCTCAGGTAACACAGAGGCGGGGCTCACTCCCTGAGACTGGACTCCCCCAGCTGCTCCGGGATGGACCCACATGCAACACCTCTCAGGAGCCAGAGCATGTTGACCATGAGCATCTAATGGTGAGCTAGCTGTGTGTCCATCTGGGAGTTTTTGAGGCTTGGGAGCTTGTCATGATCCTCTCAGAACCTCCAGGACGTGGTCAGTAATGATGGCCAGAGCACTGTCCTTCCCATTCGCTTTGGGGCCGAGACTGGTCCACGCTCTGCAGAAAAGCCCAGAGGGAGCCCCTGGCTCAGCATCAGGCTCTACCTGCTCCTGGGCCCAGCCCCACCCCCATTCCCCCACTTTGACTCCAGGTTGTGACTTCAGACAGGCACCCTCTGTCAGGGACCTGGCCCTGCTGTGACCTCACGTGCTGAGTGCAGAGACCCCTGATTTGAACCTGTCCTGGACCTCAGGTGGTAGCACAATTTCAGCTCTGATGCTGCCTGGCTAGCCTGGGCCTGGGTCTTTCCCTGACACTCTTCTTCCTTGGGGGTGGGGGGCTGAAGAGCCGGGCCAGGCCTCCCTCTGACTGTCACTGGTGGAATCTGCAAGGACACTTTGACAACTCAAAGCAACATCTTCCTACAAACCAAGCGGCACTATCCTCATGTTTCCCCCAGTGGGTACAGCTGCAGCCCGGGACAGTGCCTCATGACAGCCACTTCCTCCAAAAAGGCCCAGGCTGGCCGATGATTCTTGCTCACTATGTCACCATCAAACAGAGATGCTACAGATAGAGGACCTGGGGGAAACTCCCAGAGCAGAATCTCGATCTCACAGACAATCTTTTAGGGCTGAAAGGGGCCTCCAAAAGCAATCCTTAATGCCCTCGATTTAGAAAAAGGGAACAAGCCCAGAGAGAAGCGGGGATGCACCCACAGTCACAGAGCAGGTGTGGGTAGAACAGCACCAGAACACAGGTCAGCCAGCTCCCTCGCACCATCACGTGATCAGAGCCAAAGGCCCCTGCTTCTATCAGATTGGTTAAAACAAGGTGCTAGATAAAGAGAGAATGACGGTAGAGCAATCTCAGTCCCAAGTTTAAAGTTAGCAACTTTTCCTTTGGTGTGATAGAGTACTTCCTCCTAAGTCAACAGTTCTCAACCAGGGGACAACATCTGGAGATGTTTTTGGTTGTCACAACTGGGGAGGGGAGGGGGTTGCTCCTGAATCTAATCTAGCAGGGATGCTGCTAAACATCCTACAAAGCACAGAAAGCACAACAAAGAATTATCCAGCCTAAAACGTCAACAGTGCCGAGGGTATACAAGACCATCCCTCAGTAGGGACTGTGGGAGTGTCAGTGGTGCTCTCTGGCCCCTGGCCACACCACCCGACAAGATTCTGAGCTGTCACTAGGGGGTCATGACCACAGAAAGCGGCCTAAGCATCCTCTGACTTCTCACCCACAGGTCTGGGCTGGACTTCACAATTACCAAGTCTAATCTGTATCTGGGAACCTAACTCTCAACAGCAATGCCTCAACTGGCTGAGAACGTGCTCTGAACAGGACCCCAGCCCAGGGACAGACAGCAGGTGGGTGCCCTTCTCCGTGCATGGGGGAAGTCATCAAGAGAGAAGTCAGTCCTCTCTCGCTCAGGGGATGGAAGCCCAAACAGTGTGTGACTTTAACCTGATTTTTGTCCAGCTCACAGTTCTTATACTCTTTCTCTCCCTGCTCCTGAAATGTGACGATGACGAAGCCCACAAAGATGTTCATCATGAAGAAGGCTACGATGATGATGTAGATGATGAAGAAGATGGAGATCTCCACACGGTAGTTGTAGACTGGGCCGACATTCTCTCCATTCGAGTCGATGGCTTTATACAGCAACCTGGAGAGCAGAGGACTGAGTGAGCACCGCCAACCCCACTCTGCCCAAGCAGTCCAGCCTCGCTGCCTCCCAGGAGTGTCCCTTTCCTGGACACTTCCGTGGGCACTGACTGCCAGACCCCTCACTGGGAGCCCACCCCAGGGCCCCTGGACAGCAGGTCTCTGAGATCCCCCTTCACAATAGGCCCAGTCAGCCCAGTACCTAGAGGAGGGCACCTAGGATATATTCGTTGACTGACTGTTTTGAGGACTGAAAAACAAAAGATTTCACAAACATTCAACAATGCTCCTTCCTATTCACAGAGAGAAGAGAGGTAGAACGTCTCATGTTAGACATTGGCAGAAGTGAAAAATGGACACACGCTGGCAAAGATAATAAGCAAGCAACCAGAGAGGTTATTCCAAAGAACTAAGCGAGGTTCCCCCAAACTGAAATATGCACTAAAATTAAACAAATGCCAAACAGAACACTTAACAGGAAGTGGAGGAAATACTGTAACACCCTCAGGTTAAAGTGACCCCCATTCGGATGCAGACTCAACACCTCCAGGCACCCACCCCGTGGACACACTATGCCCGACACTTGCACCTTCACCTGGAAAGGTGCACATCACTGTCATCCCCCTCTGACGGAAGCTCAGAGAGGGATCAGAGTGCCCAAGGTCACACTCCTCGGGGCAGAGCTAGGAGTTGAGCCCGGCTCCTCTGAGCCCCAGGTTTGCTCATCTCCCCTCAGCTGCTGCCCTGATTTGCTAAAAGTGCAGTTTCAAAACCTAAGACTGCAGCCAGTGCCTCTACAGAGTGAAGGGTCTTACTCCATGCCTCTTCTGTCCCCAGGATGAATTTTCTAATGAACAAGCCCCACTCCTCCGCCCTTTTTCTCCACAGGAACTCCTCTAAAGATCCCTGACTCTCCCATGCATCCAGAGAGTTCTGCCAGCCTGAGAGGACCAGCCTGTCCATCTTTTGCAGTTCCTCTGGGCATGGGAACTTGACATTCAGGACTCCATCTACGTATATACATGCTCTGGTGACAGGAGCTGGGGTGAGTGGGGCATCAGAGAGCAGAGAGTAACAAAGGTACAAGAGACTCTCCTGTTACGTTCTACCTTCTTCCTACATGTCCTTCTTTACCCATCAAAATCCTAGCCGCTCTTCAGGACCATATTCCGCACATCTCTGACACACCAGACTCTCCTGCCTGGCTTGGCCGCCTGACACTCTGACTAGATTTGGGCTTTGAAGGCAGGAACCATGTAGAGACAGCTCTGTTTCTTCCACGGTGCCTAAGACAGCGTGCTGCACAGAGCTGGTACTGAAAGCACATTTTATGAATGAGCAAGTGAGTGTGTCAGTGAAAGACTGGCAGCAGTGGCACAATGGCAGCCGTCCATGATTGGCATATATTAGTACTCAATAAGTACTAGGAATGAATGAATGAATGAATGAGTGAACAGTATGAGACATTCTCAAGCCCCTCTTCAGAAACAGTGGGATGGCTTTACCCACATGGCTACCAATGGGAGTTGGCATGACAAATGTCTCTGAGGACTCTTCATTCCCATCCAGAGACGCTCCCCAGGAGCCAGCTAAGAGAAGCTGCCTGCCTGGGATCTATGCCACCCCCACCTCACAAATCCGAGAGCCCTGTCAGCTGGCCACAAAGGCTACTCACTTGCCTATTCAGACAGAGGAGCACTGTGGGCCAAGAAGTGATTGATAAGTGGCCTGAAGTTAAACAGTCACAGGAAAAGCCTGTAACTGGAGAAAAGAAACGGGACTCACTCCAGGAGAGATGCTCAGCCCAGAGTGCCCCAAGAAGCAAGGAGGAGCCTCTCTGGAAGACGTCCATGCTCTATACTTACGCAGGCCAGCCCTCAAATGTGGAGACCGTGAAAAGCGCCATCATAGCAGACAGGACGTTGTCAAAGTTGAAATCACTATTTTGCCAGATCCTCTCACGGACCACAGGGTTATCAACATCCCCATCCTTGTAGAGGATGAAGAGCCCCCTAGAGAGGAAGAGAAGTGTGGGTCACCCTAGACTGACATTCACTCAGTCACGGCTGCCCCAAACCCACCTCCAGGCACCACCACACCCACCTGCCAGCCAGGCCACAGACCTGAGTGCTGCACAGTCTGGGTTTCTCTTTTTCTTGCATTTAATTCTCTGCATTTAATCTACTCTGCAGTTCAAATAATCATCGAGTAACGACTAGTTCAATGAATATTCTCCAGAGCAACTAGACAGACGCCTAGCATGTGCCTGTTAACAAGTGAAAACTAGTGAACAGTAAACACCTCTCACACACAACAGGCTCAAATTGCGCAGCGAAGAGTCAGAAGCTTTGGCTGTAGAGAACTCCATAAGCACTGGGAAACAAGCCCAGATATTCTCTTATCTGCATTTTAGTATTAATCAAATTCCTGCTCTTCATACTAACAATATTCCCAGTTTTTTCCCCAAAGAATGCTATAATTTCTGGCACACAATACTTCTCATAGAATTTCATTTCTGGAAGGAGTCTAGTGTCTTCATTTCACAGATGAGGAAGTAGAGGCTGAGAGAAGGAAAGGAAGGTGTCTTTACATGGCTGCTCAACTCCAGGGGGCGCCCTCCACCCAACAGCCTGCATGAACGGTGCCCCTGGAGGCGTACAGCTACAGCCATATTGCGATCAGGGCTCTCTCACTGCACCTTCTGCTGAAGGGACACCCCAAAGGGACGTAAGTGCACGCAGGGAAAGCTCAGTTGGTGATATCTCAAAAGGACGGGGAACACAGACTTCTGCCAAGTTTTAGAATTTTAGGCAGTGGTTTCCATGTCTGCCTTCATATTCTTCTGGACATCTTGGGGTAAGAGGCATGAGTATTTCCCACCTTGTCTCTCTTCTGTCCCTTCTTATGAGTGGAACTATGGTCAAAAGGTGGGTTACAGGAGCTGGGGTAGAGAAGCAGCCTGGAAAACTTGTCAGAGGAGGGTAGCCAGCTCCTGAACACCAGGGAGTGGAGCGTCAAGCTCTGGTTTGGGTGAAAAATTATCCACGTGGCTGTAGGGGGAGCTTTCTGGGGCATTTCATAATTGCTGTTTTAGGTTTTAGTGGGTTTTTCCCCCAGTTTACAGATTCTACACCAAACATCGAAAGCCACCCATCCATTCTTTCGGGGTGATGAAAAGCTCTGGAGTAGACAGAGAGGGTGCTTACACTGCAATGTGATTGCATGGAATGCCACTGAACTGTACAGTTTAAAATGGTTAATTTTATGTTACATGAATTTCACCTCAGATAAAACAAAAACGCTCCACCTCTCCAGCCATGAGCTGAGCACACAGACCTCTTGTAAGACGGGATGAACACTTCCAAAATGCTAGCACAAGCGAATCCTTGAAGTTTTCTATTTGTTTTTCTAAATTCCAAACTCTCGAGTTCAGGACACTCACCTGCATTCTTCCGGGTTACTTTTGGCTTCATCTGTGCAGCGATAGAACTTTCCCTGGGTACAAAACAGACAACAGTCAAATGCAGGCTTCCCCTGGAGGAATCAGCTGGGCTCCATGCTTGAAGGCGCCTTCCTGTACCTTGAACAACTGGACCCCAATGCAGGCAAACATGAACTGGAGGAGGGTGGTGACGATCATGATGTTGCCAATTGTCCGGATGGCCACAAAGACGCACTGGACGACGTGCTGGGGAGAGAGGACAGAGGAGCACGAGAGGATGGAGGAGGAGTGTTACTTGCCTTTGTTGTTTTAGCCTCAGCGTGAGCTAATACCAGCCAAGATTTTCTACGTTTTTGTGCATTTTATATGATTTTCCAACTTTGCGGCCCCTGTGCCTCGTTTTTCAGGTAGTTATCTGTGGGGAGTTACCCCCAGGGCATCGTGGCCACCCGGGTGGAGCACCCTGTAAGTGGGCCCCTCCTTGTTTCCTCCACAGCAGTTAGCTGAGTCAGAAGAAATGCCATTGGGTGCAGCCCTGCCTGGCACACAGGCCCACAGGCCCCACACCCCATAAAAGGACTTAGGAAAATGCACACCCTCTGGCCTTTTGCACAACTTGTGGGAGAACAGACTTAAAGACTAAAATAAACCCAAAGAAATACTATTAATAATGAAACAAGTAATAAATGAACAGTAATCACATAAAGAAAAGTACCTTAAATGAACACAAATAAAGAAAATAATAATTTTTAAAATGCTATCAGCACTTGACAGAGGCAGCTTCATTGGTTAGAAACATCCTTTTCAAACGTATGACCCACTTTAAAAACCATCAGCACTCAGCCCAGCCCTGGCCCAGAAAAGTGAGTAATCACAGCTAACCCCAACCAAAGCAAGCCCAGCCTGGAGAGGAATCCAAACCTTAAGTCCTTTTGCTCTGTTGATTGCCCTGAGCGGTCTCAGGACCCTTAAGACCCTCAGAATCTTCACAACAGAGATGGCACTGGATCTAAGGAAAAGAGCAGAGGACAGAAAGAAAGTAGAGTGTGTCACAGATAAAATACTTGGAGATGATTTCACTTGGCCTTCACTTTACACCACTACACAATGTGGCGGGACCCACGCGGAGCTGAGCTGAGCTCTGCCCACGACTCACATATGAAGGGCCTTCTTCCAGTGCTCACTGCACAGTCCCTTCTGAGCCAGGCCCCTGGGCCCTGTGCCTAAGCACACAGCTAACGCAGCAGAAACAAGACTTAGGATTTGCTTTCTTCTTTTCACTTGGTGTAAGCAGTAGGCAGTACTTGGCTTTTAGGCTTCAGTTTTGTGTTCTGAGTGTGGAGACCTGCTGCGGTGGTCTGGTGCTGGGCTTCTCTGGCCTTCTAGGAGTCCACTATTTGGTGGGAGAGATGGGAAATTACAACCCAGTGTGGCAAGTACGACAACAGAGGTAATGCAGCCTGCGGTGCTAGAGGAGCACAACCTTGGGGGCCCTGGGAAGGCCCCCGAGGTGATACCCAGGTGAGTCCAAGGGGGGGTGGGAGTTAGCTAGACAAAGGGGGAAGGGGCTCCAGCCGAGGGAGCAGCACCTACGAAGGCGCTAGACGAGAGAATGCAGCTCATTTAGCACCACAGGTGGCTGAGTGTGGCCACAGCACATGCTTAGGAGGCAGTGGGCAAGGGCTGCAGCCGCAGAGGGCAGGCGCAGCTGGGCGTCTATAGGAGCTGCAAAGACACCAGTGAGAATGTCCTTCTAAGCTGCAACAACATGGCTCCCTCCCCAGGGGCATTGGTGGGAGGTGAGGAGGACCAACACAGAGCGCTGTTTCAGGTAGGCATCCTTGGTCTTCACAGGGGGATGGAGCCTCCCCACTGACCTTTAGCTCAGAGGTCGTGTGCACACACGTGCGCTCATATAGGGGTACCAATGGTCAGCACCTGAGCAGAGGTGCTTATAAGCAAGGCCACCCCTGGATGCTCCCCTTGGAGCCTCTGTCCCCGACCCCTGAGTAGGGCAGGCAGGCGGTATGCAGCTCGGACTATTTTCCACCAGAAATCCCTAAATGCCATGGAAAGGCCCCAGGGCCCTGACTTGCAGCCTCGTCCCCTCTTAGCTGAAAGTTTTAATGGCCAAAAAAAAGGGTCATAGCAGCTGATATATCCTGGAGATCAAGGGAAGGCTTCAATATCCAAGCTGGTCCTAGCCCCTCCTGTATAGATGAGGAACTGAGAGATGTCCTCAAGGCCCTGGGGCCAGCTCCTAGAGGAACCCAAACTGGAACCCAGCTTCCCTCCCTCCTAGGTAAGACTTCTTCATCCTCTTTTGAAAGCAATTATCACAGAGAGTAATAACCTAACAGAAGGCATGCAAAGAAAAAGAGAAACACAAGAGCATGAGTTGTCCCAATGCTTTCTGGCATGGGCACAAATTAAGCTTCCCAGATAATTAATGTAATCATTAAAATGATGCCTAGCCTTTATGAATTATGTTAAAATTCCTCACATAAACCACCCTGCCCAACAGTCCTGTGTACACACACACACACACCCACCCACCCACCCACCCCAGAATACTTACTGGATCCCAAATGACACCAGAGACACTCCAACAACCAGCATATCCAGCAAATTGAAGTAGTTCCTGCAGAAAGCCCCTTTGTGGAGGAAAGCTCCAAAGGTTGTCATCTACAAGCAGAATCGTGAGTGATTTACTACTCTTTCTCTTCAAAGGAAAAGAAACCTGGGCTCTTTACAAAACCTTGAGAAAAGTATGACTTTATGAACAGGGTGCGTTAAGAAGCCAGAAATGTAAACCAACAGGGTAGAGCAACCAAATAATTTGTTTAAAAATGGAAAAAGGGCAGCTGATTTCTGATACATTTTAAAAGAAGAGACCAATACAGACTTTATTACAGTGATGACAAAATTCAAATATGAAGACATTGTTGGCATGTCCGAAGAGCCTGTCTCAGGAGAGAGCCCACACGACCATGCTTGTCAGGACATAACTGCTGCCCAGACAACTTGGCTTCTCCACAAAATGCCAGTTCTGGCCCCTCTGAGACCCCAGGAGAGCCTGCATTGGTCCAATCCAGCCTTCCCAGTGGGGGCTAGAAAAAGCGCTGGTGTCCAGTGCTCACAGGCTCTGTTCACATGGAAACCTGCATCATTTTTCCAGGTACCCCTTACTGCTCCTGGCGGTCCTTAGCCATACATCCATTTTAAAGGGCTCCTCCAAGTCCAGTTACTCTAGCACGTGCAAGGTGTGGCTAGGAAGTGTCACATGCGTCTCACTGCTCTCCAGTCACATGCCATGTGTACCCAGAGCCCACATTGTGGGTGCTCCAGTGAGGTTCCTACTAGTGATGGAAAAGGAATTTCATGAGGAAGTTCCCCAGAGTAAAAACAGCAAAATACATAGAGTTCACTATTTAAAAAAAAAAAAAAAAAAAACGAGAAGAAGAAAAAAGGGGAAAAAAAGTACCATACTTTCAAAGCTATTTTCTATTTAAAAAAAAAAAAAAAAAAAAAGAGGGAAGGCTCAGGTAAGTATAGGGGAGGAGAGGCAGAGTCAGGAACTACACTGGACCATATGAAATTGCCAATACTCAACCCTTTGTGACCTATAAAAATGGCAATTTCAAATGGTTTAACCAAAATAGCCTTCCAAATCTTCCCAAGGCCACCAGGAACCACCATCTCAGATGTCAGATGCTTCTCGATGAATCTCCATTTTCTGAATCCTTCTTGTTTTAGCTTATTTTCCACCCTCTAAAATGCTTTCAAAATGAAGAACTTGGAAGACTTAAGTCACTGAGGCAAATATATAGAAATTGAAAAGCAGTAATTGTTTTTTTTTCTTTTAAATAAACCTGTACCTCATTTGCCCCAAAGCTCAAGAGTAACTGCATTCATTTGACAATGTAAAAATGTGGAAAGCAAAATAAAACCTCAATTAACCAGGGTAACAGAATAAGTAGAACATTTCCCCATTCAGTTTGAAGAGAAGGCAAATTACCGAAAAAAAAGCAGCTCAAGATCAAATCGAGGCCGATGACTGTCCCTGTACCCCACCACTGTGCCTCGCGTGTCTACGTTCCTAACCATGGAGAACGTGTCAGCACACGCTCACGACCCAGGCAAGGGTCTCCCTTAGGAAAAAACTGTCAGCCAAATCCACCGGTTTAAAGGCAGGAAAATGAACTCACATTTTTAGAAGATTTTTAATAAAGGTTTAAACAGAGGTTGGATGGTTTTGTGCTAAGATTTTCATTAACCAAAAAGAAAAAGAAAATAACTAAATATACCCATTCTCTGGCAACATTAATTGAAGTTTCATTTTATGAAAGATTTTGTAAAGAGCCCAAGTTCTACAGTAGTCTAACATAAAATACATTTTTTCCTGAGATGCACACACAGAAAACCCAAAAAAGAAAATTGTGGTTAGACATCCTCATTTCCCAGCTTGTCTCCCCACTAGGAGCTGATTGCTCTGACAGTTGTCATGGGCCACGCTGCCCCAGCACTGCAAGGACGCACACCACTTAGCAGGTCTGGGAGGTTCTCGGCTCTCTGCAGTGGGTCTCCAGACCTCTGAGTACAGAAGGAATGAGCTGCCCCCAGAGGGGCCTTCACCCTCAGGACACAAACCACATGCAGCAATGGCAACTGTTAGCTCATGCATGGGCAGCACATTTAGGACACCCTGTCCAAAGGGTGCTCTTTTGGTTTGTGTAAATGTAAGCCCATCCATTAAAACAGATATAAAATATCTTAACACAAATAGACCCAAGTTATCTTGCAAATCCTGTTGCAAGAAAATAGTGTGCTACTATTTTAGGCCACTGAAAACAATTCAGTCAAAGAAATGAAAAGAGATACATTCCCTTCATAGGATAAATGCTTTTCCTCTGACTTGGATGTCAGGAAGGGTGGAAGAAAGTTCACACATAGTGATGTATCCTGTTATCAGCTGACACATTTCAGAGGATATAAAAAAAAGCATAATATAATTTCCAATCACTATTATGAAGCCAAAGTAGCTTCCACATGCATTCAAAGGTTAAAAAGAAATAGCAAAAACAAGTTGAATGGTTACAGGAAAAAATCCTTTGGATAAAAAAAAGTGTAGCTTGATCACAGAAGATAAAAAATAAAAATAATCAAAAGCACGTCACGCTTCTTTGCCGTGTGTCACACGTAGGAGCAGGCCCCTAAACACACTGCTGTGGAACCTGTTACCTTCAAAACGATCTCAAATGCAAAAGTACCAGTGAAGACATAATCTGCGTAACCTAGTATCTGGAAGGTAAACAAAGAATTGCAACTATTATTGCTACAGCTGCTTTAGGCTATGTGAGGATCAATGAAAAAGCCGTTACCTTTAACAGGATTTCAACAGTAAAGATGGCTGTGAAAGCATAGTCAAAGTAACCCAGTATCTGCAAGGTACAACACATGGACATGAGAAAAAGGCATTCGGACAAACTGACAGCTGCATGCCCATGGGTAGGACAGCTACACGCCCACGTGGGTAGAACCCCCACATGCAGTCAGAGACCATTCTCCTGGGGTAAGCCCGCCACTCTGGAGATAAGTGCCAAGATGCTCATAAATGCCCCATTTGGTCCAATTATAGCTCATCTTTATGACCAACAAATAACATCTGGGAATACTTACCTCCTTTAACCACTCAGGCTCTCTTCCCAGTCTCATGTCTTGGACAGACAGAGGCTCATTTCTAGAAGTGTTTTATTAATAACCTTTGCTCATCAGAGCACTACATTGACAAATTACTTGTGGCACCAGATAAATTAGAGTCTTACACACATTTTAGATTTTTAACTGCATTTTTGGCTGAATGAAATATGTTGCCATCCAGCTGAGCTTCAGATTGGCAGAGAAATGTAAATAAAGATATAAGTGGCATCAAACGGACCAGAAGCTTTCACACGTCTCCTCCAATTCCAGTCCATTTAATCAGCGAGTAAACACCCTTCCCCCACTGATGTGCGGGCTGGATAAATCTGTAAGGAAGAGTTTCACTTATGGTCTTGCTCTGCATCAAACACTGCTCCCTCCCAAGGCCAGTTCTTACCTCGCCAGACCCACTCAAACAGCGACTGACTCAGCCTCTGAGTTATCACTCCAGGCTACTTTATCACATTCCTGAAAATACCTTCTACTCTCCAACCAAGCGAGTCCTGCTCACCCCTTCTGAGGTCCCTGAGTCTACTCAGAGCTACAGGGATAGGAGGGTAGAGGAAGTGGGCCAGCAGCAAGAAGTCTGACCACTCAACTAAGGCTACTCACAGGGAACTCTTCCCCACAAAGATGGCAGCTGAGACTCTGCCAGCAGAAGAGGCCATCTTGATGGCTCATCTTTATGACAACTATGCTCTATGGTTTGAAAGAACTGAAGAGAACAGAGCTGGAGGGGACCACGGAGACCACTCAGGCCAACTCCTTTCACTTAACAGACGTGGATGCTAGGAATAGGGACAGCTGCTGAGGCCACGCAGCCAGTCACAGGTGTTGCTGAGCAAGGAGCTAGGCCTGTGGAATGCTACTCAAGAGCCACGGGCCCTGTTGTTTAAGTGTGGGGTCCACCTCAGGGGTCCTTTACTGCTGTTACAATAAGGTGAGGACCTCTGCTTCAAAGGCCAGCTCTCCTCAGCTGAGTTCTCCAGAGGGTATTCATCGTCCAAACTGTTTCTGTTTTTGGATTTACAAATTTTGCTGGAACACGTCTGTGTATCTGTGTTTCGGGCCAGAAACAATGAAAGGTATTTCCAGTACAGTAGGCCCCCACCACCCCTCACTCCTTATTCCCTCCTAGGTCACAGCAGGACTGTCAATGTTGAAAGCACCTGGGTAGCCAAGAAAGACACTGCCGCCCACAAGCCAACAGCCACCTGGTGCCGGTGGTCAAAGCTCTTAGATTTCAGTTGTTCTTTCCTCACTCAGTCTCCATTCTCTTTTTCACTAATAACTCAGCTAAGATTAAAAAAAAAACCCAAAAACTGCACGACTCCAGTTATATTGAGGTATCTAAAGTAGTCAAACTCATAGACAGAAAGTGGCATGGTGGTTGTCAAGGCTGGAGGAGGGAGAAACGGGGAGGGGAGCTGTCGTTCAATGGGTATAAAGCTTCAGTCACGCAAGATGAATAAATTCTGGAGATCTGCTGTAGAATATAGTGCCTATCATTAAGAATACTGTCTTGTACACTTAAACATTTGTTAAGAGGGTAGATCTCATGTTAAGTGTTTTTATCACAATAAAAAACCCGTAGGATTTTAAAAGCAAGATATATACTCATATGCACATCTATCAAAAAAGAACAATAACATTCTTGGGAAAAGCAGTAGGGAAATAAACTCATGGATAAGTAATTATAATAAAAAAATAAGAACATGAGGCCCCATGTAAATTAACTTTCGTCAATCTGTGTTCTAGACTAGCTCCTGACCTAGTCTGTCACATACTGATATTTTTTCCCAAACAGCTTTATCCCCTTGAGTCTTATTATGATGATGGAATTCAATGACACGGAGATCTTTGTTCCATTTGAATGTCTATATAGAGACAGCCTCAGAATCTCTAATGAAAGCCCTAACCTGCGAGCACAGATTAAGATAGGCCCAAGGCCTTTGTCTTTACATCAACACCAACACATGCCTTGGGGGAACATTCTTTTTATCTTCATGTCAGAGTGCGGTTTTATCAATCCAATAGACTGGGTTTGGCAGGCTTCAAACCAAGAGCGCTGGAAATGGAAAGACACCGCATAAGGCTTGGTTGTCACGAGAGAAATCCTGGGGCGCTGATCTGGTGATTTGTCTTCATCCTCAAATCTCTAAAAATATCATGTACAGAAAGAGGTACCAACCAGGCAAGGCAGTGACGCCTGAGGGCCCCGCACACTTGCTGGCCTCCCTCTCCTGGGACGGTTTCTTGGGAACCATCTGAAACTGCGCTATAACATCAAGGCCAGAGAGTCAACAGGTTACTCATCTTCTGAAGCCAGTCTCTGGATTGTTCTCAGAGCTAAACTGGCTGAGCTGCTAAGATGGGACTGCTTAGGCAAGAACTAATTTAGGTATCAGTTTCTGTCCCTCATAGACACAGTGGAAGGGTGCTATCCCTAAATTATGCAACTGATTAGTAGTACAAAACTTAACTCTCTACTTGTTTTCTTCGTAAAACCCCCCATGCCCCACCAAAACACAGTTCTTCCTCTTCACTGAACCACTCAACTCCACAGCCCATCTTCCCCCTAACTTGTATTTCTCCTCAGTAATGGAGCCAAGTAGCCGTGTGAATCTAAGTCCACATAAGATAAGTCTTCCCTGCCAACTCTAAACAAGAGCTCCTGGGCATGTGACATACCTGGTTTCAATTTTACTTTCTGTCCTGATGGACGCTTCCACTAGGCAAAAATCTCAAAATAGGTGTGAATGTGAATTCGACCCAGGAGGGGAAAAGAGACCAAATGTTGGCAGCAAGGAATGAAGAGGAAGAGAAGCAGGTCCCTGAATGCACTACAAGTTCCTGAAGAGTACTTAAAATGAAGTTTAAAATACATGATTCAATCAAGGTTTGTCCCGATGAAACAGAACCTCTCTGGCACTTACAAACCTGACACACGAAATGCTTGCAGGTGAACAAGAGGCCTACTCTAGCTTCCAGCCTCATGGGCCTCCACAGGCCCTGCCCTGCCTGCCTCTGCCTGAGGGGACAGCACTGATCCCAGATGGAGCCGACCCGCCTGTCCTCACCCAGTGGCTTACAGTGTTGCGGAAGGAGTGGCTGCGGATGGGGTCCTCGGCGGCGAGGGCGGCACTGCTCAGCATGATGAAGACGAGGATGAGGTTGGTGAAGATGTGGTGGTTGATGAGCTTGTGGCAGCCCACGCGGATCCTGCAGGGAAAGCCACCGCATGGAGACAGCCCCAGACAGGGCCCGGGCAGACCGGCCAGCGCTTTCAGGATCTGGGGCCTCTCTGCGGTGACAGGTCAGGCAGAGGACAGCTGTCTGCTGTGCCGCCCACGCCCCCCTCCAGCAAACCAGAACCACCTGACCATCAGCCCCCTGAAACCCCGGGACGGCAGACCCTGAGGGCCCGTGGTATCCTGGCTCTGTGTGGGTGCTCAAGAGGCCACTCACTGAGTCCTTAAAGTGGGGATCATCACCCTTCTAAAGGTGGAGAAATGAGGCTTCAGCATGGGAAAGGACTTTCTTAAGGGGACATAGCTAGTAAGGACCAGAGGCGGATTTCCAGTCCAGGTCTGACTGTGACGTTTTCCCACTATAGCATGAAGCTCAGCTGCTCACCTTCCTTTCCTCAGAAAGGAGACCAGGTCAGAGCTCATGGCAACAGCTCACAAAGAATGAGAGCACCCCCTTTCTTGTATGGCAGCTGGGCTATATTAAAACATGACTGGAGTAGTGAGGCTTGGTGACGTCTCCTGTTACGTGGAGATTCTGTCATAGGCACTATTTCTTTTTGGGGTGGGAGTTGACCCCCGACAAGCACTCCTGAGAAAGTGAAGTGAAAGCTACGTCATCGTGCAAGAATCTCACGGGATCTTCCTGTACCGTGTGACAGAGCCACCAGAGTCCTGCGGTCCTGTGAAGCAAGGCAGGGCCATGCGTGCCCAGCTCCCCGGTCCCGGCTCTCACGATGGCTCCATGGGCCCTCAGAGCCTCTCCTGCTGCCCTCAATGTCCATGGGCGAGTTACTGCCTGACTACCCTGAACCTCAATATTTGACTTCAGAATTTAAAGATCTTTTTTGTTTTTTGGCCCATAGAATACATGTAGGTTTTCCTTTGAAAAGATTTTTTCACTTTTAAAACTAGAGTCAACTTTACATAAAGGTGACCCCTTGCTTCAAATCCTCCCTTGTGGGGCTGCTTACTGCTGGGATGTGCCCCTGGAGGGCTTGCAGGCTGTCAGCAGCCGGGGAAGGCCTTCCAGGGCTGTGAGGGCAGGAGTGCTCACAGCTTTGGGGGAAAATCAATGCATTCTTTCAACATACAAGATACAGTGAGCTGTAGGTGTTGGTTACGTCAGTTGAATAATTTTTTTTAAGAGACACCTAAACTCTCAACAGTGATGAGCTATAAAAACTACCATCAGATCTTCAAGTCCCTACGGACTGCAGCATGCCCTGTTTCCCACCGGTGTCTCCCACCGGGGCCTGCGAATTATACAGAGTTCTTCTCTGACAGCCAAGAACTACTTCTGCAATTCTAGAAACCTTTCCAGGAGCCATTTATACCCCCTGGCATTTCACTCAATCCCAGATGATTTAAAACCTAGAAACCAGCTAGTAAATAAACGTCTTCCTCTTATCATACTTGCGAGTAATTACCATGTTCCTGGTGAGCACGTTATCATTTAACATGAGAAATGCTATGTTAAGCAGAATATCATAGAGCTGAATTGAATAGCTACAACCTATTACCTATCATTGAGTAATATTACTTTACAGCCATAAAACTCAAGACCGAGAAATGATCAGCTAAACTGGATCTCTGGACGAAGATGCTGTGCAGAAGTTGGTCACAAAATTGTCACCCCACAAAGCATCTTAACAGAAGACCCATTTGTGAAGAAAGGGTCCTTCGCATGGAAAACACTTCACAGGTGACAGCCCATGGAACACTAAGTCACAGGTATTCCACCACTGCTGGCGCCGGGGCAGGGGTTAAGGGGGAGGAGAATCTGGAATGGCGCTCCCCCCAGGACCTGGTCACACCCCTCCAGCCCCTTGGTCCAGGAGCAGGAAGGCCAGGAAGAGATGGACAGAGGGCAAAGGCAAGGCAGGAGCAGGAGAGGGGTCGGAGAGGGGTCAGAGGGGGATCAGGTGGCTCAGGGGGCTCCAACACTCACGTGCAGAAAAAAGCTATAAACCACCTTCCTTCACCCCATCCCAGCCACCCTCAACAACCTGTAGGGTCCCAGGTGAGACGGGGCAGTGATGTGACCAGAAAGGGGGTATTTACGGGTTGGTCTTGCTAAGAATGAAGAAAGCGCTCCCTTCAGGAATGGGAGCGATTTTCTCCTTCATGTTCAACTCCGAGATTCTGCGAGGACGGGGGCCAGCTGGAACCTCAGGTTCATCCTCCTCCTCCTCCTCTTCCTCTTCACCTACTTTAAATGAGACACTTTTTTTATAGGCATGAAATAAACCAAGATTGCATTTGGGTTTGAATTATTATTCTCAATTCACATGAAATTTGGCTTAAACTTGAACAATATCTATCAGCTTACATTAATCAAAACTCTTCAGAATATGGACTGAATGTGTGTGGAGAGCCGAGAAGTGCGCCCATCCATGAGTCTGTGTAGTCGTGGGAATGAGGTCCCTAGCAGTTTAAGACGGGAGCACAGGTAGAAGGTAGCAGCAGTGGGGTTCTCACTGCCATCCCCCCAGCACCTGGCTGTTTCCCCAGTAACCTCTTGCTCAGCCTCAGCCTGGAAAATCTGTGTGGGACTTCAAGTCACACACAATCAGTGACCCAGGCTCCATACTCCACAGTCCCTCCTACATCAGCCAATAAAGGCACCAGTCAAATGCGAAAGTGTCAGGTGAATAGTATTAACTGGTCACCTCCTCAAGAGATTTCCCAGCAAAAGCTGGGCTTGCCAGGATCCACCTACACTTTTTCTCCCCACCACCTGGAATTTGGGTTATGTAAGCTGTCTGCGACCAAGAGAAAAAGAGCTAACTGGCCCACAAAGGGACTAGAACCATGGCCTCGACAGCCTCAGCAGCCCAGTGTGTGCCCCAACTGGGCTAGCCAGCTACAGACTCAGCTGCTGACCACACAGTGGTGGCAAAGCCACATCCCTCAGGAGCTGAGAGCCTGTCTCTGGCCTCCACCACCATACCTGGCACATCACAAGGCGGGTATGGGTCCTTGTCCTCATCCTCTTCTCGGTAGTCATCGATTGTAACCTAGGATGACAGAGAGGTCTTGGGAGGAGGGGAGACTCTGACTTAAATGCACTTTAGAGAGCCAAAGTGGAGACTCAACCCCACCCTTCCGCACAGAGCAGAGTAGTTCTCTTCAAAGTGTGCGCTGTACGTGAGTGAGTGTGTAGGGACAGCACATGTCCCCAGATGATGATTCTGCTTAAGACAGAAGGTCTGAGGGCAGATGAGGAGAAAATTGGTATAACCCCTATCCAGCCATGGTTAGCCAGCACCATCCACACCTTTTCCTATCCTAGTGATGTCACACACACCGCATGTATGCCATGTATGGTAACTACATTGTAGACTCCTGTCTCTCTACTAGACTGTAAGTCTCGTGCAGGCAGGAACCTCGTTGGTCTTGATGGTGCCTGATCCCCAGTATCTGACACACAGTAACCACTCAAAAAGTATTTACTGATTCAGTGAACAAATGAATGAAAAATCCAGAGCTGTCATAAGTGGGATGAAGTTAGACAGTATAGCCCTGAGCACCCAGACCTCCTGATTTTGAGATCCCTCTGGGGGCAGACACCTATTAATAATCCTTGATTTTAATCCCCACTGAGAAGATACTAACATAGGTCAGGTCTGACAACACAATTCCAACAAGGAAAAAATAAGTGGTCAGACCAGCCAAATATATACTGGTTCTCTGGTGAAATACTGGTTAACAACCAGCTGAGTGCCTAAATTCCCTCAGAACCCCCCTGGAAAGCCAGCGTCTATAATGGTGTGCCACACACTCACACCACAATATCACACAGGACACTTTCACTGAGTAAATGGTACATTTATGGTGCTATCAACAGAATCATTTTGAAACAAAAAGGGGAGAAGGGCTTCAGAACACACACCTTGTTGTCACTGTTGGCTATCTGGTTGACTTCTGGTTTGTTGGTCTTTTTATTTTCCAGGCTCTCTTTTCTACAGAGACAAGAACACAAGAAACCAAGTAATCATATTGCTACGTATAAAAATGCTAATCAGGATTCTGAATCAACAGTGGCCTGATGAAGGAGAGAATTTAATTGGAAACAACACTAACAGCAAGAACATAGCACAACCCACACTCAGAGCTTCCTGCTCATCTCAGTGCACTGGACTCATTACACAGATCATCTTATTAAAATTCTCATCCAAGAGCTAATCAGCATTGAATGCTTCATTTATTTTATGACGCCAAAATTAACCGCAGCCATTCTTTAAGCATGGGGACGTGCAACTCCTACTCTCAACTCCGAGGGAATGACAGCCAAGGGCCTGGCTTCTGCCCAAGACTCCATCCTGGTTGGTTTGCCCCACGTGGTCATCCACAATCACCACAAAGCAGCAACATGGGAGTTACAGCTGCCTGGAGTCCAGGTGGCTGCCCCAGGCCTCACCTGCAGCTGGCTCCCCAGGCAGTTCCCTGAGCAAACACTTCAGGTGAAAATGGGGTTACCTGGCAATCTTTTTCCTCTCCTTTTCTTCAGCTTCCTCTTTCTGAGCAGTATTCAAACTTTCAGCATCAGCCAAATTGTCTACAGCGATGGCCAAGAAGACATTCAGTAGAATATCTAATTTGAAAATTTTAAGGGTACAACACATTTCTAAATGCAACGACATCTGGTCAACAATGGCAACGTGACCCCTCTGTGTTCTGGGAGGCTGGTAACAGGGGACTGTCCCCTAGTGCTATGTTCACTTGGTATAGCCAGAGGACCAGAGCCCTGTTTTTTAAAAAAAAACTAGAAACCTGTAGAAGACAGTTTGGAAAAAAAAAATTAAGATTCACTAAAATCCGTGAAAACCTACAAACCTTACCATTTCCTTTCGTGTGTGTGCATATGTGCATGCCTGCACGTGCACACATGTGTCTCTCTATACATCTAGGTATCTATAGCTGATACGCATTGCATAAAACAACCTATAACATTAACATGGTGTTTTCATGCATTTTGCATTTCACTTTATGCATTTTGTTACTTTCAAAACACACACACCCATAACATATATCGGGGGCATGCTTTCCAAAACAGACACCTTTAAAGGCTACACATTATTCAAATGGTGATCCTATTGCATGAGACAGTCTGAGCTTTTCTCATCTGAAATGGCCCTCAGAGTCTACGATACCTCATTCATTCATTCACTCCACAAACACTGACCGACTATGGCGTGCCTGACTTATTGCCAGATGGTGCCAGACTATTCTTTTGAGTAGCCGCATGTGGCTATATCTTTGGCTACTGTGGTTGAATTACATTTTTTCAAATAGTAAAACGTTAGATGATTACACAAGTTATCAGGTTTTCGGCTCTTACTATAATGTTAAATGTGTGGTTTTCCCTGAATGATTGAAAAAATAAATTCTGAACAAACTTCCCAAATCAGAAGATGACTGTTTCTTATTCACTATCAGTGAAGTACATTTTTGAGAAGGACAGGATCAAAGGTCAGTAAGTCAAGACGGTTCTCTGCTACTGATGCTTCTCTTTGGCTGATGCACAGCCATCTGCATGCAAGACTGCAGGAGCCCAGGGACCCAGAGATGGGAGAGGCACACCACTGTCCCACATGCCCTGTGCAATCTGACACTTCAGGGGCTGCTGAACATGTAAACAAGCATAACCCAACAAGGCACTGATGATGAGAGAGCTTCCAGGGGATCTCACGCTTGACTAATCTATTCAAGTCTTTACAGAAGATAGGAACGTGAGTGAATTGTATTAGGACTTTCAAAATGCCTTTGATATGCTAGACTATTTCTTAAACAGAGCTGCAATGAGCCTGGGGAAGCAGTTTGTCCTGGGCTGGACGAGGGTTGGTAACACAAGCTCTCCTCTGACGGACGTGGGGTAATCATGGCTCAGAGAAGAATTAGTGCTGGGACTAACCGTACTGAGAATTCTCACAATGATCTCAATGAAGAAATGATACATCTCTAGTCTTGCAATGACACTAAACTCTCTTCCAGGCTCTCCTGGAAAGCAAATCCAGAGTAATACACCACAGGAAAACCTTACAAGTTCCAAAGTAACTTGTACAAGTTCCAAATACCCATCATCTGTATTTAGAGGCCTTACCCAGATCCTCCTAAACAGTAGTGTGCTATGGAATTCATTCGAAAAGATCTACCAAGCACCTCCGACATGCCAGACACTGTTCTGGGTGCTGGGGGCGTGGGAGGAAACACGACAGACTGGAGTCCAGCTCCCAGGTAGCATTTATTCCAGCTGGGGGAGATAGAACATAAACTATTTAGGCATTTCAGATAGTGGTATGTGTGCTACGAAGAAAACACAACATGTAACCAGACAGAGAGTAGCCAAGGAATACTTCTGTGCAGACTTAAGGCCGGTACACTGCTATGGCCTAAAGAGTTAATCACGAGGAGAGCAGAAAAAGAAAATATCAATCGTTCAGTTCACAAACATTTACCAACGGCTGACTGCGCAAGACCCTGTAGTATAAGCCATGAGAGACGTGAACACAAAAAAGAAAAGATTCCTGACTCAAGAAACTTATCCTCTAGTTGGGGAGATGGAGAAGTGCCCACCCCAAACCCCAGCAGACGGCAGAACCCACCCCAAACCCCAGCAGACGGCAGAAACCGCATGCTGTAAGAGACCGCTGCATAAAATCTGGCAGGAGATGGGCACAGGTGGCTCTCTGCATGGGGGACTAGAAGGATTTCTAGGTGTTGAGATAGGGGTTTCCATACAATACCTTGAAGCACAAAGCATTGTCCTTACGGGTTTGTCCCGGGGTTTCCACACTGAAGACAATTCACTAACAAGCCAGAGAAGATTAGGGAAAAACAGCTAAAGGGATCTGGGACTTCTTAGGAGAAGAATCCAGAGCAGGATGCTTTACAATAAAAAGATGAAGACCAAGAGTGGTATTCACATGTCCATACACTGCTCTTTCACTAAACATCCCCTGAGGGCCTCCACCTGCCAGGTCTTGCACTACCAGGGAGGACACAGATAAAGCAGACAAAACCAAAGGTCACAGGGTCACGAAGGGTCCGACTAAGGTGAATAGAGATTGAGAATTTTCAGAAGTCTAGGATTAGAGAGTACCTCTTTGCAAGGAAAAGGAATAAAATGAGTCAGAGAAAAGACAGCAGCCTGATACAGCTGCTAGCCAATGGACACTTGATCCCCAAAGACGCACAGATCAGCAAAGCAAAATTAGGTTCAGGGGAGCTTAGGTCAATCCACTGAAGGGGGGTTCCCTGTTGGTTACAAAGGGTCTTAAGAAGACACAGATGCGCCCCCAACCTCTCAAGGATGATGGCACAGAGGACAACCTGGCTTTGACTTAAGCCATCGCTTGGGATCTGTGACACCGAGCTGGGTGACCACTGGTGCAGCCCACGTGCTGTCTCATGCTCCTTCCCCTGGCCTGCTCTCATTCCTCAAAGCCTAACTGGAACTCTGCCTCTACTCTGGCCTTCCCATCAACAGTGAAGAAGAGTATATTAACACGGTAAGGGCATTTACCTCCCACCACAACTGCTACCACCACCACCACCACACCACCACCACCACCACCACGGGCCAATTCAGAGAGGGAGAAACAAAACAAGACAATGACACCACAGTGCCCTCGTCAGCTTGAAGGATACAGTTACCGCAAATGAAGAGGATGATGAAGTAGATGCAGACGATCATTCCCGAAGATGACGGGCCCCCATACGCCATAATGCCATCATACATCACAGCATTCCAGTCTTCACCTGTCAGAATCTAGAAGCCAAAACTGGGATCAGCCGGCAGGTGGACTCACAATTCCCAGTTGTTCTCCCAGGGCTCCTAAATCTGGTTTAAGTCGCCTTTCACAGTCCAATTTATACTGAACAAACCTATCTGCTATCCCAGAGAGTTTTCAAAACATGATTTCTTTTTCTCCCCAAAGCCCCAGTGCATGGTTGTATATGCTAATTCTAAGTCCTTCTAGTTCTTCTACGTGAGCTGCTGCCACAGCATGGCTACTGACAGACGAGTGGTATGGTTCCACGACCAGGAAACAAACCCAGGCCACTGAAGCAGGAGTGCAGAACTTTAACACTAGACCATCGGGGCTGGCTCCAAAACATGACTTTTAATCATACCAATACATGAGTTAATCTTCTGGTGAAAATAAAGTAACATTACATACAAGACTTATGTACTCTTTGATGACCCCCCAGCCCAGTTTTAGTCCTCTCCCCAGAGAGCATGCTATTGGTGTCTCTCTCCAGGAGCTTTGTGCATTTATACATATATACACACCCAGAGAAAACAAGCAGTTGGTGTCTTCTCTGATTTATTAGACATAAAGAGTATCATACTATATAAACTTTCTGCAATTTGCTTTTTTCCCCACTCAATAATATACTCTGGAGGCCCTCTGTGCCAGTAGGTTCACCTCATTCTTTTTAACTGTGCCTGGTAGTCCACATAGTTAACCAACTGTGCAAATGGGGAATTATATCTATGAGTTGTTAGAAGCAGGGAATTCCAAATATCTCATGTAAATTTACAAACTACCCCATGAGTAGATACTCATGACCATCTGAAGTTTCAAATTTAATCTTCTCTACTGATGATACCTGACAATTCAATCCATCGTGAAACAGAATCCGATGAACACGAACAGCAATTTAAAAATATACTATCTTCCACAGAGATTGAGAGAGCGAGAGAGTGAGAGTGAGATCGCACGCTCCTTTATCTTTTATCTGGACAAGATATTTTAAAAATTAAAACTGTTGTGGATCACAACCAAACAGAAAAACGGGCAAATGATTTGAAAAGATAAAACAATTCATAGAAAAGGAACTATAAATGGCTGTTAGTCACATGAAAAGACATTCAGGTTCATCCCTGATAAGAGAAGTATGAATTAAAACTCCAATAAGACAGCATTTTCACCTATCAGACAGGCAACAATCTAAAAGTGTGAACCCCCACTGTGGTGAAGAGGAGTGAGGCCACGGGAAGGCTCCACACTGCTCGCCGAGGAGGAGTTACTACTCCTGTAAGGAGCGTCCTTGGATGAGAGTATCAGCGTTGAAAATGGACATACACCCTTTAAACCAGCAACTCCACTTCTGGGAATTTATCCCACAGATCTACTCACACACGTGCCCCACAATGTATGTTCAAGGTCACCCACAGAGCAAAGAGCGGACATGACAAAATAGTTATCAGCAGGGGACTGGTTACACGAATTATGGCACATCCACACTATGGAATTTATGCAGCATTGAAAAAGAGGAGGCAACCTTTTATGAACCAATAAGGAAGATTCTTAGGACACTTTAAATGATAAAAAGCAAGATGGAAAACAGCATGCAGAGTGAGCCACCATCTGTGTATATTCATCTATAGGTAGGCAGGTTAACTGCTTTATATCTATGAGCAACTATATCTCAAGGAATATACAAGAAACTGATTAATGGTGGTTGCCTCCTAGAAGGGGAAATTGGTGGCTGAGTGGCAGAGAGACTTGTAACTTTATATCCTTCTGTAACATTTGAATTTTGTGCCTCATATATGTATTCCAAAAGCCACCACCACATAAGTTTCTCTGAAAGAAATCGGGATAAAGAATGACTAATCAGTGGCCAAAATTAAGTATAATTCAAAAAATTAAAGCTATGGCTTTATAGCAGTGCCACTACCTCCATTCATCTCAAAACGGCCAAGTGGGAAAGGTTCTTAGAGATCATTCCCTCTAGTCTCTTGTTTTTTCAGAAAAGGATAGTGACTTTCCAAGGTCACAGAGCTGAGCACAGAAAGAGCCACCACGGGACCTCAATGTCCACTGTCCTCTCAACAGGCCTCTCTGGCAGGGCTCCTAAGCTCACCGACATTGAATGTGAAAAGCAACAAGGGCGAGATGAGTCTTTCAAATTTATCTGCTAGGTTCTATCCAAGGAAGGGCTTCAGCTCACAACACAGGAAGAGGGGGTTTAGAACACCTCAGCTTACAGCCAGCTGGGGTGGAGAGGCTGCTCTGAGTGCAGAGCCGCCTGCACACTCTGGCACTGTCACTCCCTTCTCAGCCCAGTGCCTATAAAGGCCTCAACAGCCCAGATACCCTCAGAGTCTGTGTGTCCTCATTACATCACACGAAGGAGGACAAGAAAGGGGCAGAAGCCTATCACAACACTTTTATCACCTTGATTCCTCTGACTACACACCAAAGCATCAGGGCTTTAGAATTCACTGCTTTGCATAAATCCATTATAACCAGGATTACAAAACTTGCCTGCAATCACAAATTAGCAAAGAACAGAAAGAGGATTTAAAAGCCTATCTTACAGAAACCTCATGAAATCAAACAGAAGTTTTGGGTTTATTATTTTTTCAATATCCAGCGGTCTTATAAAAACACTCAATCACATCACAGAGATAGCTGGAGCAAGATGCAAAATAAATGACTTATATGGCACACAGCTTATCAGAACATTATTAGGACAGAGGTTACTAATAAAAACGGAAGCATTTTGTCTTATTGAGTTGTGACCAGACAAGAAGGCATCTCATGATGTGCTCCTCAGGGAGAGGAGGACAGGCGGACTCACCTGGAACACTGTGAGAAGTGCTTGAGGGAAATTGTCAAAGGTGCTTCGCTTGGTTTGCGTTTCGTCAAAATTAAACTTGCCGCCAAACAGCTGCATTCCAAGCAAGGAAAAGATGATGATGAAGAGAAAAAGCAGAAGCAACAGCGAAGCGATGGACTTCATGGAGTTTAACAAAGATGCCACTAAGTTGCTCAGGGAAGTCCAGTGCCTACAAGTCAAGATGAGGATGTGAGCCCAGAACACCCGTGCGGACAGAGCCAAACATCACCTGCCCAGCGATGCGGCTGATCCCTACCCCATGTCCAGAAAACATCTGCAGCAAGACACACATGTCCTTACCTGGTCACTTTGAAAATTCTCAAGAGACGCACACACCGAAACACAGAAATCCCCAGGGGAGACATGATTTCCAGTTCCACCAAGATCGTCTCAGTAATTCCGCCACACACCACGAAGCAATCAAACCGATTAAAAAGAGAGACGAAATACGCCTGGAGACCCAAGCTGTACATTTTTACCAGCATCTCACAGGTGAACAGAGCCAAGAGGACTTTGTTAGCGATATCTGGAAAGACAAAGAGACATAGGTTGGGATCTCACGGTGGGGGTGGCTCAGATTCCTCTCCGCACACCTCCCTCCCACCAGTCCCCGTGGGAAATGCCCCAAGCACTTCTGTCCCTCTCTCTGGTACCGCACCCACTACAGAAGAGTGGCACTAACGTTACAGTCTGTTTGCCTGCCAGGTTCTGGTCCTGCTTCTGCTACAACATAGACGTGTGACTCTGGAGAAGTTCCTTGAATTCTCTGGGCCTCAGTTTCACTGATTATAAAATGGGGAAGGCTGGTTTATCACATGACCTCTGACACTTTCCAGCCCTAAAAGCCTAGGATTCTGCGTTTAGATCACCCATCGTATTATATTTTTTGCTTCAGTCACAGACAAAAAGACCCATCTGGTCTTGCCTACGGCATGATATAAGCAGCAGTTGCCTGCCAATGTCATTTATAACAGCAGCAAATACCACCCAGCAGGCTGGAGAGCTGGACGGAAACAGCTCTAACTTGATGTAAGGCAGGCCTTCTCGACAGCTCAAAACTCAGAATGGGCTGTCTCTGGGGATATGAACAATAGGGGAACCACCACCACTTGCCAAGAATACCATAGGGAAAAATAAAGCTTCCCATGGGGGCAGGGAAAGGGCTATGAGGTCCCTTCCAGCTGCAAGATTCCTTGATCCTAGGTTGTCATGGGGTTAGGACAATGGGATGCTCCGGCCTTAATCAGCTCCAAGGTGCTTCATTCACCATACAGCACAGACCGCACCCCCACTCCAGGTGCACCCTATGTTTAGATGGTTCTACCATCTTCCAAGATAATGCTTATAGAACTGTTCCAATACTTTATTATACATCCATCAGATAAGACTAAACTGCAGTTGGACAGCTTCAGGGATCCCCAATTCAGAACAAAAAGCGAGTGGCCTCTGCTTGTACCTTGAATCTGCGTCAACCAGTCAGGCTGGTTGTAGTGCTCCGAGGAAATGGTTAAGGTGTTGAGAAACACCAGGACGATGACCAGCCAGTAAAACGAGACAGACTTCACAGCAGCTCTGCACCTTCTGCGGTTAAATCGGTTCCAGCGACGCCAGCGGCGGCTGAAAGAGACGCAAACGTTACTCCCTGGATGACAGACACCGCATCTGAGTGTCCAATAAACATTACTGAGAAGCAATTGGCTTTCACTTGAGAGGTCTGGATTGGGGTGGGGGTGCAAGAAGGAAAGACGAGAACAAATAGCATAGAAATTAACAGACTTCATAATGTAAATTATGTTGGTCTTAAAATGCAACTTTTAAAAGTATGATCTTAATCATGCTATCGGTTTCCTTCCTATGGCTTTAGATAACTCCAGAATCTGTCATACGCAGTCCTCAAACCAGTTAGAAAATCTAGACATTCGCAGATTTGGTGCAGATGCAAAACGGCACTCGCACATGTATGTGGTTCACATTCCCACCATACGGTGCACGGATCTGTTCATGCTATCGCTGCAGAGAGCCACTTAGCTCATTATACACATCTCTTGCAGCATCTCTGTCATCATACGGAATTTATCAGGCAGCGAAGTGCTCCAAAACCACAGCTTTCCTTTTAGGGACATTTCCAGTCCTTTCTCAAATACGTGAGGTTCCTCTGGAGCCTGGCCGAGTTGTCAAAGCTGAGTAGGACATGAGTGTTCATACTGAGTCATCAGGTGCCCTTTCTAACCAGTCGATGCTCAAAATATACCTTTAGGAGAAGAGCCAATATTGAATTGTGTTTTCATACAAATAAAATGAGCTGAACCCAACAGACAAGTAGCATGTCCCCTACCTACTTTCATTTCCTGTCTATAATTAGGGAAAGTATCCTCTCCCTTAGCCTGTCTCCCTGTGGAAAACGTTCCCTGCCACAGGATGGTTTGGTGAAGTATGTTCCAGGGAAGGGCCAGCCAAGTGTCGATGTCAGCCTCGTCCAGGCTGGGCTCACTGACCGGGGCGGGTCGCACTTTCTTTAAGGGCTTGAGTCAGAGGACTCTCTAGGCTGTGTCCAAGCTGCAGCCCTGGCTGACTAGGCTGTACTACGCTAAAAACACCATGACCCAGGGACTGGGCAAAGAACTCTTCAGCAAGACCTGGAACAAGCAAGGTGCATTTTGTTATTGCTTTTGCTATGTGGTTTCCAATGGTAATAGCAGCTGGAAACATGATGACCAGCAAAGAAAAATTCCACAGAGGACACTAAAGACTGCCCTCCTCCAGGCTGGGTCTCTCCTGTGATGCATAATTCAGTACACACAAGCAAAGTGGTCTGAACAAGATCCAGCCTGGGTGGTCTATTTAGGCTATAGCGACAAGTCACAGGTGTCTCCCAAATCCAGGAGACCTCATTGTCACATCCCCTGAAATCCTGCAGAACTGCACCCCCCCATCTTGCCCCTTACTGGGCGCTGAGTGTCCAGGCCCTGTACTGGGGACTGGGCATATTGAGATGAAGAAGGCATGGTCCCATGACCCCTGTCCTTGAAAAGCACGCAGGGCTATGGCAAATAATTATAAATCCATGGCAAGTGCTATTCCCAGGGTACTACGTAAAGAACAAAGATAAGGGAGGTGCAGATGCTCTTTTGGAAGAGTCAGGAAAGGCTTCTCCAAAAAGCTGAGATTTGGGCTGGCTCTCAGTAGTCGAGTAAGAGCCAGCGGCCAGAGAGAAGGGCACTCCACCCAGAGGAGCCTGCATGGCCAAAGGGACCAAGGTGGGAAGAGACAGAGCGTGTGGTACATTTGAAAGCTGAGGGCAGTCCAGTACAGCTGCGAAGTGGGGTGGATGGGAGGGTTGTCAAAAGACGAGGCCAGAGGTGAGCTGGGGGCCAAGTTATGAAGGAACTTATACGCCCTCTGGCAACAGGGTGGCATGGAAGGGCTTCCGATTCTTTTTATTTATTTATTTATTTTTTAATTTTTTGTTTATTGCAGTAACATTGGTTTATAACATTGTAAAACTTTCAGGTGTATATCATTGTACTTCCATTTCTGCATGGACTACATCATGTTCACCACCAAAATACTAATTACAACCCATCACCACACACATGTACCGAATTATCCCTTTCACCCTCCTCCCTCCCCCCTTCCCCTCTGGTAACCACCAATCCAATCTCTGTCTCTATGTGTTTGTTTATTGTTGTTATTATCTACTACTTAATGAAGGAAATCATACGGTATTTGACCTTCTTTAAAGTCAGGTTTATTGAGATGTAATTTATATATGGTAAAATGTACTCTTCTTAGGTTTACAGTTTGGAGCCACCACCACTATCAAGATGTAGATTATTTCCACTACTCAGAGGTTCCTTTGTGGCCCTTCGGGTTAATCCCCTCTCCTCACACCAGCCCCTAACAGCTACTGATCTGTTTTCTGTCCCTACTGTTTTGCTTCATCCAGAATGTCCTATAAACAGAGTCATACAATACACAGTTTTTTGAGAGTGGCTCCCTTCCCTTAGCAAAAATACTTTTGAGATTCATTTGTGTTGTTGCATCTATCAGTAGTCTTTTCCTTCTTATTGCTGAATATTAGTCCATCATATGGATGAACCACAATTTGTCTACCCATTCACCATTTGATGGACATTTGAGTTATTTATGGCAATTATGAATAGAAATACTATAAAAATTCGTGTAAAAATTGTTTGTGTAGGCATATATCTTTATTTCTCTTATATAAATACCTTAGAAGTGAGATTGCTGGGTCACATGGTAAATATGTTTGACTTCACAAGAAACTGTCAACTTTTTATTTTTTATTTTTTTTAGAATCCATACAAGTTGGATTTCTTTATTTTTTTTAATTATTTCTTTTTTAAGATTTTATTTATTTATTTTTTTCCCCCCAAAGCCCCAGTAGATAGTTGTATGTCATAGTTGCACATCCTTCTAGTTGCTGTATGTGGGACACGGCCTCAGCATGGCCGGAGAAGCGGTGCATCGGTGCGCACCCAGGATCTGAACCCGGGGCCGCCAGCAGCAGAGCACGCGCACTTAACTGCTAAGCCATGGGGCCGGCCCTCAACTTGTTTTTAAAATGGCTGTGTTATTCGACAAGTAGCAATGTATGAGAACTCCCATCGATCTGCATCCTTGTCAGAACTTGGTACTGTCAGATTTTTAAATTTGATCTATTCTAATAGGTTTGTAGTGGTATCTCATTGTGATTTTAATTTGCATTTTCCTAATGACCAAGTCATCTCAGGTGCTTATTTGCCATTCATCTCTCTTCTTTGATAACATGCCTGTTAAAATCTATTGCTCATTTTTTTATTGAGTGGTTTTCTTATCATTGACACTATTGCGTATATATTATTCTCTCTGTATACAGGATACTATACTATACTATATATACTAGTCCTTTATCAAATATGTTTTGCATATTTTCTCTTCCAGTCTGCAGCTTATCTTTTTATTTTCTTTCAAAGAGCAGGATTTTTAATTTTGATAACTTCTAACTTATCAGTTTTTTCTGTTATGTCCAGTGCTTCGGGTGTCGTATCCAAGAAACTTTTGCCTAATCCAAGGTCACAAAAATTTTCCCGTTTTCTTCCAGAATTTTTACAGTTTTAAGTTTTACATTTAGTTCTATGTCTGTTTCAAGTTAATTTTTGTACATAGTGGTAAAACGTTGTTTTTAACTGAAAAACAACATACATGGAAAAGGACACAAATGACAGGTATATGGTTCAATGCGTTTTTACCAACTGACCATGCAACTTACATCCAGAGCAAGAAACAGAACATGACACCTCAGAAAACCTCTTGAACCCTCTTCTACGGAAAGCTTAATTTTAAGCAGAAAGTGTCTCTCTTAGAGAAATGACTCTGGGAGGCAATATGAAGGGTTGATTAGTAGGCAAAACACTGTTCATCGTTGTGTCTTGGTTTGCTTGTTTTAGGGGGAGATCTTCGGCACCTCCTACACTGCTCTCCAGGCAGGTGCTTAATGTTTCCTGGGGGGATTGATCTTCTATGTGAACATTACAGCCCAGAGAGCAAAAATCAGGTCTAGAGCAACTCCATGTAAAATTCAGAAGTTAGAACATAAAAACCCAACACATGGGCTTAAGAAAAAATAGAAAGAAGATACTGACCTGAGCTTGGATTTTGAGATGGCTTGACTGAAAGAAAGACAAAAAAATATGATTCCTGTTAGGAAGGCTTGAGCATACACTCCCCCATCATTTCAGCAGAGATATTGTAAAAGCCATGCACAGAAGCCCAGACTCAGCACCCCAGTCCCCACGGTGGGCCAGCTGGTTAAGAGCAGAGCAGGAGGCAAAGTGTTGCCAGTGCCAGGCGGGTCAGGCTGAGCACCCTCCAGGGCCCAGGCAAGAGAAGACTCTTAGCCAGAATCCCTGAGCAGCCCCAGCACAGGCAGTGATGCCAGGGTTCTCCCCCTACCCCCGCCCCCACAGTCCCCAAACTGAAGCCAGCAGGCCTTCTCCTGCCCGTGACTCAGTCACTCATCTCAACAGCAGTATGTGCTGCTACTATAGCAAAAGGAGCACTAGACTAGGAGTCCTAGCTCTGCTATTCACTAACTGCAGGAGTTTGGGCAAGCAGCACACCTTTTTGAGCCTCAGTGTTCTCATCTGTAAAATGGGGAAGACAAACCCATTCCCTGCCTACTTCATGATATTGTAGGAGGGCAGAGCAAGAGAAAGGAGGCAAATTCACTTTGTAAACTGTTGAGGATTTGGTCCAGAACACATCATTGTTATGAACCTCTGCCAAGAAGACCGAATTCTCTTAAAAACCACACCTGTCCTTTACAGACATAAGACCTAAAGGACACCAGAGGAAGCAAAGTGTACTCTGCACATTCCACACAGCCCGTCCCCATGCTACCATAGCCCAACTCATCTAGAAAAAAGCCAAGGGGTATTAATGTGCGGGCATCCTCCATCGTTAAGGGAGGGTGGTGCAGGGCTCCAAGGAAAAAGTGCTGTGAGCAGAGGAGGGCGGAGCCTCATATCCAGCCACTATGCATGAGGTTGGGAGAGCCCGTGAGGGAAGGAAAGCTTAAATAGGCAGCATATGCTAGTCAGCGACTCTGCAATACAAGCTCTTCTTCAAAGCACTGCTGCCAGCGTCAGCCTTGGAGGAGAAGCAGGGCTTTTACCCCCACCGCCGACACCCAGAAGGCCCAGCCCTGGCCGCGCCTCTTCTTCTCCACCAGCACCTAGTAGACACAGTGGAAGGCCGGTTACCTGGCACGCCCTGGAGCAGGTGGGCTGCTCTGGAGGAAGAGGCATGTGAAATGCAGGGGGTCTCGGGGGCCAGGGATAGGAGGAAGAGCAAGGGGTCCAGGGTGAGCCCACCCACTCCTCTTGCACCTGAGGCTATGGCCCCAGGGCTCCACTGAAATCTGGGGTGTCTTCCTCATATTTGCTTCTCTAAGAAGATGGGAGGAGCTGAGAGGGCAAGTGGCCTCCTCACTCACCAGAGACTTCCACAGCAGCCTTGGCTCTCGCCTTCTCCATTCACGTTCTCTGTGTTCACAGACTCGGTTTCGCTGGTGGGCATGCTGGCTGTGGGGAGGAGAAAACACTTTAGTTGGCACAGTGGAAGCACTGTGCACCTGGGAGTGAGACAGACAGAGATCTCCACCACCAGGGAGACCCTCTGGGAACCCGGGAGAAGGGTGAGGAGGGCAACGAGGGGTCCTCAGGGGCTTGACTGGCAAAAGAAAGTGCCAAGAAATCAGGCACCTCCACTGCAAGGGAGCCTTTGCTTCCGTGATCTGCTGAGAAAGCCCACAGAAACCCCCATCAGGAGGAAATTCTGTCTATCCAGACACCTCCCAAGAAAAGAAGCCTAGGGACCAAACTGAACCCTGTCACTGTGCCTAGCACCAGCCTATCCTCCTGATTTCCAGGTTTGCACTGAGGCCACCAAAACATCTCAGCTATAGCTACGTCTTTGCTTGACCTACAGGTATATGTTAGAAAATCTGTGAATAGATCAAATACTCCATAAACTTCTTATTTTAAATATACTGAAGGAGAGGAGGTATTACAGATGGAGGAGGGCATGAAGTTACCAAATGCAAAATCTTTTTAAAAGTTTTTAGAGCTCTACTCATTTTTAGTTAATTTATCTGATGTCTAAGTTCCGCTGAGCTTGTGAAGCCCACACACAGAGGGTGCTTACCGAAGAAGCGGGCACTAGAGCACCACGGAAGTATAGTCTCACGGGTGGAAGAAGGTTTTCTCCCAACCAGTGACCACAGGGCAAAGCTGACTGTGGTCCCAGTGCCACCAGGGTCTCCAGGCATGTCTCACTCCTCCCTAGCAGAATCCTGAGCAGGAGAAGTGGAGGAAATGTGGAAATGCACCCCCTAGTGTCGGGAGGCCCAGGGACCCACCAGAGCCACCATCTGGCACATGGGCGTTTTTTTTCATCCACTTGATTCAGCCCTATAAACATCATGAGCATGTGCTGGAGACCAGGTGGTGAAGGAGGTGTGGGGCACAAAGAGGGACATGGCCCTGCACCTGCCCTGGAGGACCAGTGGGAGAGGCAACCCCTCAACGGATTTCAATTAACTGTGAAAAGAGCTACCTCAGGGGTCTGTGCAAGGAGTTCCGGAAACGCTGTAGTGAGGAATGACTAATTCTGCTCTGGGGTTAGGAGAGGTCAGCAAAGATGGAAACATGGGAGAATCACCTGAACACACGTGCTGCTTCTCCCTGATGCATAATGTGAACTGCAGCAACTGTTTATAGACCTTATGGTGTCAACAGGAAGGCTTTCCCCCGTGGCTCTGCCCACATGGCTCCCCCTAACAAGGATGCCTCAGTTTCATCTGCAAACACTGGTAGTGGTGCCTGGAGCACTGTGGTGAAGACTCTGAGGCCAGCGCAGGCGAAGAGGACAAGGAGCTGGATCAACGGCTCTGTCTGCACAGCTGCATGTCTGCTGACCTTGCTCAGGCCAGAGACATGACGTGAATGACAAGGATGAAGGCGGACCTGACTCAAAGGACCCAGAGCTCTAAGGAAAATCTTTCTGAGGCACCAGAGAAGATCCTTTTCCTTCTGAGAGCACCCAAGGAATGGAGCCTGCTTCGGTGGGAGTCTCAACAGTCATATCCAGGAACATTTAGGCAAAGGTTTCAAAAGCGAAGGCAAAATGAGCAGAATTACAGATCCATACCACCCTATGGTATTCTCATAGAATGACCTTTTTCTTCCTTAGTTAAGTCAAAAGAAACCAACTACAAACTTTGATTCACTTTTCACTACTCCACGCAAAAAAACAGACAAAAACAAACCAACCAAAAAAACCCCACAATCCAATCATGGAAAAACCTTTAACAAAAACTCCATACATATAGACAGACAGATACACACACACACAGAGGAAGCTGCTCACGCAATTCTCTTTTCCATGACTGTTCCATGCCCTGAATCGAGCAGAAAGACTAAAAAACTGTAAAATTTAACCAAGTTCGTTGTTATGGGTTCCTCCCATGGGGTCACCCTTCTCTTCAGGAACAGGACAAAGAATCACAGTGGGAGACCCTTACAAAGATAACCCTGAGTCATCTCTGAGGAACATTTTTCTTGGTGGGTATTGCCACTATTGAAGGGACAGAAGTCAAGAGCAGCATGATACGGGGGGTCCTCGGGCCTGTTGGGTCCTGACTCTGCCCTGGGCTCTGGTAAAGGGTAAAGTGGTGGTGCTAACTCCACATTCTTGAGGGTGACTTCCATCTCTAACAGTTTAATACTTCATGGTTCTAATATGAATCATATTGTAACTTCAGTTATTATTCCCCAAAGAGCAAACTTCTGATGAACAGGCTAAATCTTCGTGGCTTTTCACTCTCTGGGGTCATGTCCCACGATAATATCACTAGCTGCTGCATTCATTCCTAGCTTCGTTTTTCAAACGATCTGATCAAAACAGATAAATTACAGACTACCTATGGGAAAGAGGGACATAGTTTTGCATTTCTGGCTCTGTGCCAACTACTAGTGTATGAAACGTACTGCCTACTCCTAGACTAAGTGGGAGGAAAGGTAAGAAATACACCCAAACTCCCCAAACAGAAACTCAGAGAGGCTAACTGTTGGCACAGTGTCAGAGCTGCACTGATAGGGAGGAGGACTCCTCCTGCTCTCCCAACAGACTCTGTCCTTCAGTTGAGGTGGGACAGTAGCTAAGAGCAGGCTCTCAGGTTGGTCAGATCTAAATTTAACCCCACGTTTGTGACCAAACTTCTCCAAGACTTCATTTCTCACCTGTAAAATGGGGATACTTACTTACCGGGATGTTGGCAAAACTAAATGAGATAAGACACATAGTGGGTCAATCCAGAGTGGGTCCACAGCATTGGGTAATCAGTGGGGCTCAAAACGGTAATTTGGTCATCTCAGGAAAGCTCTCCTGGAGCTCCCTGGAGGCAAAGCAACACTCCCTATATGGCCCAAATCCAGTGTCCCTTCACCCTGACCACTTCTATTATGGCACAGAGGCATCAAGTGCGAACAATCCTCCGTACTCCCAAATCAGCTTTGGCCACCACTCTCAGTTTGTATCTTTTCTGCCTCAAACTGAGTTGTTATTGTCTAACTTAGCCTGTTATGGGGATAGCAGCTTTTCTGTCAGAATTATTTGACACGTATAGAGCCAGGGGCCCATAATAAATCAACCTATTCCAGAATGACGTCCCAGGGCTGAGGAGGAGGAGTGGAGGGGGAAGGAGGAGGAAGAGGATGTGACTATGCTTGAATGTGGTGACCTCATTTGGTCCCAGAAATGGATCTTGATCCAGCCCCTAAATCTGAGCAGAAGAACCAGGCTCCGATGGGGGCCCTGACAGCCTTTCCATCCACCCTAGCCTCTCACTCCCAGCCACAGGATACCATTTCCTTTTCCAAAAGAACATAAAATATCAGGCCCAGTGGGCATAACCAAGGACCTTGTTTGTCCATTAAAGCATTTCACCCTTCGCTTGCATGAGGCATTCATGTTTTTAATGTTAATAAATTGATATGAGTTTCACATCACTTGGCCCCAGTAGGATCTCATCTATGTTTTAAAAAGTCAGACAGGAGAATGACAGACAGTTAGAACTAGAAGGTTCTAAGTTCACTGCATGAACAAACTCTGTGATTTCACAGATGACAGGACCGACCAACCTGCCTCGGGACACACAGCTCAGACGTGAGCAAGCTCTCCTGCTTCAGCATTCTTCCCACTATGCCACACCACCCCGGTGGTTTTGGTATATACTTAAATATACTGGTACACGTTTTGGTATTGGTCTATGATACATATATTGGTATATCCTTAAAATTCTGCAAATCAAAAAGGTCCAAAAGCCAAACAAGCCTATTATCCATCAGCCTTGGTTTGCTGTCCTGATGGCCTTTATCAACCTCTAAAAACCTGGCATATAGCCAAATCACCTCCAGAAGTTCAGCCCAGTAAATGGGGATAGAACAAAAGTCAAGCTGCTATGGTGACTATTGAGACTTCATAAAAATCCAAGCAAGTAAACCTTTGGGCAAGTTACTGGAGTACATGCCCTTCTTCCTAACTGGCTACCATAGCATCATGGCTGCCCCGTTCAGGGTGACGGCTCTGCCCCTTCAGTACAGATCCAATATTAATTGCTGACAAGTGGCTGGGCCTCATTAGAGACACAAGCAGAGAGACCCCCTCAGAACCCACCATGTCACCTACAGGCACCTGTCCCCCCTGCAGAAGTAAGCCAGGGGCCATTTGCATGCAGAGAAGCTATAAGTCCTTTTCCCTGACACTTCCAGGGAATTTTAGAGCTTTGCTGGGGAAGTTGGGTTTTTTTAAATATAAATTTAAAAACTATTTTCAGTGAGTGTGGGTGAAACCAGGCATTAGGACAAGCCTGTCACCTGTAATGGGATGCTGACTTGCACTGCATTTTGCCTGCTGAAAATCTGGGGAAGCTCAGGGTCTGCGCTCTGCAATCTATTCCAGGTACTGGGATCTCTGGGGAGAGCTCCAGAGTAGACCCTCAGGCTTCAAGTGTGGGCGCACCGGGAAGGGGCCCTGAGTGCTGCTGTCGGTGAGGATATGACACACTCTGGACTGCAGACGAGAGCTGTCAAGGCGTCCCCAGGTAGCTGGGCTGCGCCCCTATTCAGAGCGCTCTCTGTAGATAGTAGGTCACATGGTTTCTCCTTAAAATCTTGTAATGGGTCCGGATGTCATCATGGGCAATGCCACACAAAATAATCCAGGGAAATACACTGTTGCTCAGGCCAGCACAACTACTAGCATTTTCACCAATGTGCAAAGATTCCTTTAACTACTAGCACTCTTAAGGACAACATACTTCTCAACCAAATCTGCCTGGCTTTTGAATTCAGAGGGAAATCAACACACATACACACATGCACACACATGGTGAACGAGTCTGTGTGTGGGTCCAAGTGGGCAGCCCCTAAATTACGTTTACCATTAACAGGCACGTCAAAATCTGAGACCAACTTCCTTCAGTGACAGAGGCTACGGAGATCAAAGACTGGAGAAGAGATGT